TATATCACCAGTTTGGTTTTCTTGTTAGTTGATTTTGTTCATTAGATTCCACATATGAGTGCAATCATATGGTATCTGTCTTTCTCTGACTAGCTTATTTCACGTAGTATAATGCTCACCGGGTTCATCCATACTGTCATAGAAGGTAGGATTTCCTTTTTTTTTAATGGCCAAGTAGTATTTTATTATGTGAATATACCACAGCTTTTTTATTCATTCATCTACTAAAGGGCACTTGGGCTATCTCCAAATCTTGGCTATTGTAAACAACACTGTAACGAACATAGGGGTGCTCATATTCTTTCGAATTAGTGTTCCAGGTTTCTTGGGATATATTCTCAGAAGTGGGATCGCTGGGTCCAAAGGCAGATGCACGTTTAATATTTTGCATTTACTCCGCACTGCTCCCCACAGTGGCTGCTCCAGCCTGCATCCCCACCAACAGTGTGCAGGGGTTCCCTTTCCCCCACATCCTCGCCAGCACTTGTTTGTTGCTTTATCGATGATGGCCATTCTGACAGGTGTGAGGTGATATCTCATTGTGGTGTTCCTTTTGTTATTTATTCAGGTAAAGAAAAACATTCTTTCTCCTCTTACAGACTCTGCAGTGTAGCATGGTGACGGGTGAACTTTAGTAGAGGGTGGACACAGCTGATGGAATTACGGGAGTCATCCTAGGACAGGTTAAATGAATTGGACCTGAAAGAAAAGTACTTCTATCTCCTCCTCTTTTGCTGAGCTGCACCAGTTCTGTTTGTTACAGACTCTGCTCAAGGCTACCTCCCGGTCACCACAGCACACTGACACGGGCAGAAGTCCAGTCTCCATGGTTCTCGATGGTGATGGTAACAGGTGCTTTTATGTCCATCAGTAAGTAAAGAATTATTTATAAATAGCATGATTCTATTTACTTTTTTAGGAGAGCCAACTCTTCCTGAAGGTTCCTTTAAAAAACCGGAGGCTCTTTTATTTGTGTTAACTATCCTGAAATTTGTCCTTTCAGTTAGAAAAAGTTACCAACCTTCACAGCATGATCTTGATCAACAAACAATCCAGGTCGCACCCACTTCTCTGACCTCAGTTAAATCCCACCGTCAGTGTAGAAATACGGGGGACTGCTGCTAAGGGGCCCCGAATTTCTGAAGGTAGGTGAGCCACTGATAAATGTCCTCTTGGTGCCCAAACTGTGTACATGGGACACATGTTCCCACAGGATATCGCCACAGAGCAACCAGCCTCATGAGGCCAAGTTAATCACAATTCTAAATAGGAAGACTCAAAAAGCACATGCTATAAGTCTGGATATTAAGATGTTTCCAACAGGGGAAATCATTTTATGTTCTCACTTTTGTCCTAAATGATATAAAATGGATTGCTCCATAATGCTTGCTTGCCAGAAAGTTTGGTTGGACTTTGTAGTCAGAGAAGAGTGTTTCTCTTTGCGTAAGAACTGGGAGAGTGACTATGCGATGCTGTTAACTTTATTGGTTTGCGAGGAGTGATGACTTTGCACTGGGAAACTGACCGACCTAGCCTGAACTTGCAGGGAGAACCAAAGCCAAAGATTCCGCCTGGTAGACAAGGGTAATGTTTTATGCATTTTTGTATCACTTTGAATGCTTAGCACAGTGTCCTGCATAAGGTATTTTCTCAATAAATATCTTCTGAATTTTTAATATGGAAAAACTTACCTCCCCAATAAATAAACAAAAAGGAGTGTTTTTCAGGACTTCCTCATTGGAACATTGTATCTAAATAATGGAGCCAATTCCAACAGCTACTGAAACTGCAGAAATATTTAAATCCGTTTTGAAAATAAATAAACCCAAATTGGTTTGAATAGGACTTGGTTAAGCTGAACTGTTGTTCTGGGCTAAGCGGTTTCTGCCTATAAACTGAAGAGCAAACAGGGTCATTAAAATGTTTTCTGAGATTCAAGGGCATTTAAGAGGGTTTTGAAAGGCTGGAAGATGTACAAAAACCACACAGTATCACTAGGTTGCCAGAGAATTTTCTCTAGTTAAAAGCAGACTGCAGGTATGTCTGCAACTGTATTGACTTGGATATAAAAACCTTACACATTTCGAGGTAGAATCAATAACAGAAGGAGTCACTATTTTTAAGAGATCATAAAAGTCCAAAACTATGTATAAAACCTAAAAAATGCAACAGAATCCAAGAGTTTTTTAGCATTTAATATTTTTTCAAACTTCAAAGTAGAGTAAGGGGGTAAAAAAAAAACCTAAAGACTTAACCCCAGGTAAAGTCTTTCCACTTGAAGTAAGCATAAAAAAATAACAAAATAATAATGTTAAAAAGACAGTACTGAAAAATATGGGGAGAAAAATTTCCCTTACAAAAACAATTTCCTTTAGGTGGAATTTTCTCCATTGAAATAACTGTAAGGATTCTTATGCCATCAACTCCTCTAAGCTATGTCAATGTAGAGATGATGGCTGGAATTAAATGATGCAAAGCATTAACATTTCATAGGTCATGTAGGGTAGCCCTTGATATTTCTGCAGTACAGATTGTGAGGGACAGTGAAGGCTGGTGTCACAGCCAAGGTTGAGTGCTTCACAAAGCGTACTTGACTGCTTGCATCGGCAAAGGCAGATCAAGCCAGCAGCGACAACAGCCGGGACCCGCAGGTGTTAAACAGGACATAGATAACCACAAGCTTCAGCTGTTTGCGGTGTAACTTTTGCAGTAGACGTATGTATCGGTTAAACAGCCTGGGAATGGAACAGTCTGTGCCTGCAGCGTCTCCCTAAGTTTACAAAACATCTTTGAGCTCTATCTAACCCATCCCTATAAAATAAACGTGGGTACCATATTCAGGGCTCATTGTCTCTCCATCAGAGGACAATGTCGCACCGGGTCCCTGCATTTCCTTAAACTGTCCCAGAGGTGATAAACCTTAGGAGGAGACACCTGAGCTTTCCCCATTTGCGATACAAATTCATCAGTATCCACCTGCCCTCAGTAAGGGAAAGTAGCCTAGTCATCGGGGACATTAATTAATTAATTATACAGGCATTGATTAGACACTTTCTTGCTTTTCTCACATGTAGATAAAACAGATTGCTTGCCTATACCTGAATTTTGCTGCTACCTGTACTTTTTTCAAATGCACCGAAGGGGCCATTCTGTGTGGCAAGCTGAAGAGACAGCAGAAGAGCTTGTTTGGCATCATGGGTTAGTTGGAGTCACTGTGGGACGTACGAGCATTCCAAGGCTGGAGGACAGCAAGTAAGGGGGGACTGGTTCCAGTGCAAGTCACCAAGTTAGTGTGCATGCCTTGGGGTCATAGACTGAGGCTCATATCTGGACCCCCTTTTACAGGGTGCGAATCCCTGGGTGAGTGCTTTCTCACTGTTTTATACAGGTTATTGCTCAAATCCTTATTGTTCATATCTACGGGGATTTTAAAAATTAACCATATGCCAGTTACAGAACCTCTTTTTATTTAAGAAAATCACCCTCAATGTTATAAAGAAACTGGAATTTTATTTCTACTTAAGATTTGGATTAAAAAACAGAATAGTTTGACTGCTTTTAAAAGCAAATTCTGTCAGCAGTGGTGCTTGGAAATAAAAGACGTCTTTTATAACATGAGCAGGAAGTTCAGTCAACACATGAAACCACGTGGTGATTTAAAACACTATCACACTGCCAGGCTGGCCCCTGAGGGTGTGTAGAGCTGTTTAAGGGCGTATCCCTATGGCAGAATAATTGCTGTTGTGTTTCTGAGATACAATCAGACCTCGGACATTTCTGCCTCCGACTACCAATTGCTTTAGTACTTGTAAAAAGGAGAGATGACATTTGACTAAGAATGGTGTTGGGCACATTAATCCAGAGAATTGACCAGACCGTATTTTTACATCTTTAAAATATGAAACCATTTTTTCAACTTAATTCTGCACATAGTAAGAGTAAGTGACCAAACACAGCAAATCACCCAAACAATGCAACAGGAAGAAATGAGTCCTTAGCAAAGGGGGACAGGGCGAGCTGCCGTATAATGTATCCACATCAACTCTATATTCTTACTACCGGTGCTTCCCACACAACTGCAACTGTCCAGACAAGCATGTATTGGGCTTCTTATACCGTGCTGTGCCTGCACCTGGCTGGCACCTGAAGACTTTGGTTAATGGAATGAGTGAAAATCCAGTGTTATTGGTACTAATTCTGAATCTTCAAGATACCATTTCACAAAGGTTCCATAATGATTCCTTGAATACGTCTACTGCCTTAGTCAGTTCTAGGACTTCCTTTCCTGGTCCCTGATATATTTGGGGAGCTTCCGTGGACCATATAGATGTCAATGATTAAATACATTAATCAAATGATTCTTTTTTATGCTTTAAAAATACTGCCTAGTATTCATGATATAATATAATATGAATTTTACAATGTCATTTTATAAGCCAACCTCTTGGGCTTTATATTTACTTTATAAAATGTTTTAATAAATGTATACACCTCTCAATATTTCTCCTGTTTAAAATTAGCAAAGATGTTAGTTTAATGTTATTGAAAAATTCCCACTACTGAAAACATTTTTCTACCTATACCCTAGCTGATGTACTATTAATGACACATATTTTTCATTGTGAAATAGTTCACGTTCATGATATCTTTAAAAAAGTAAAAGCATAATCAATAAAATATACAAAACTTTTCAAAAAGTAAAAGAACACAGGAAAGTAGAAAGTAGAAAGTGTTAGTCTTCCTTTTCAGCCACCCTTCTTCCCACTCAGGAGGTCTCTTTCACAGCCTTCTAGAAACTGGGAAAGTGCATTTCAGATGCCCGTCTTACAGTGTTTGGCACAGCTACTCATCTATACAGGATCTGCCTGGCTGATTGAACACATTAATTTCAGATGTTGTAAACATTCCTTTTATCATGTCAACATTCCGACATAATGAAGTCTTTAAAAGAAACAGGGAAACAGAAATGAAAATCATAATAGACTTAAAAGGCAACTAACCTTTTTCCACCTCATTCAGATTAGCAGCTGGCAGCGACAAAGACAGAAGAGACAAGAGACTTTTTACATTGCGGTACAACAGCAGAGCACAGGAAGCTAATGCATTTAACAACAGAGAGGCCAAGGGTGAGAGGGCAAAGTGAAGCAAGGCTTCCATTTCTTACCTACGGCCGGCCAAGCGCACAGACACGGAGGAAAGGAGGCAACAGGCAAAGGCCGTCACAGGGAGCCAGAGATCTGCATCTAAACCAGGTGACTTAACAACCAGCCTTATTTTTTAACATGTGTGCTTAATGGTTTGCATGTGGGCATTAGAGACTTGGAAAAACAAAGAGATAATGGTACAAAATAGGAACGAAGAGTTCTGAGTATTTTCCACAACATATATTCTACATCTTTACATTGCCCAGCTGGTATGGAAACTTTCATTCACTGAATCTGTCATCCCATTAAGTGACCCTGTGGGTTACATTGTGATCAACTGAGCATCATCTTTGTATGTGGTCCATGCGAATGGGGTTCTTTAAAAAACATAGTCTGACTGAGTAGATCCAGGGTTCTGACTCTTAGGAAATATGCAGAAATATATTTTTCAATTTAACACCTAAAGTCATACCAGACTTTAAGAAAAGACATCAAGTTTTCAACATGGCGGGGGTGCCGTGTTTGTCATTTTCATTTTTATAGGTTTTGAGCTTATATATTTTCAGGAATTCCTTGAAAATTTTTCCTTTAAGAAATACCTTGGTTTTAGAGAGGATAACATAATCGATTTTTTTTTAATTAAAAAAATCAAAAAACACAATCTCTTAAAATGAAAACCCTGAAGTAAATTTAAATTTTTTGAATTTCCCAATTCTAAAGTTATACTTGCTCAATCCTTACCTTAGTGATTTTACTTTAAAATAATACTGAATTAAATTTCTCAAAAATTAACTATGCTCAATCCTGAGTGTAGTGATTTTAATTTACAAGTGTACTGAATTAAACTTCTCAAAAATTAATTTTGTATGAAGAATATCAGCAATCAGCAACTATATATTATACAACTGGAACAAGTAATGAATTAAACAGAAAACAACAGTTTTGAGAACTAGCGTTGGGAGAGTATAACAAGATTTAGATAATAGAAAAAAAATACCGACCCCTAAAATTTACGTTGTTAATCCCTGCAGCAGAAAAGAGCAGATCATTCTGCCCTCCCATCAATCAATAACTATTTCCGGTGATGGGCTGGCCCCAGCGCTTAAAGAAATTTAATAAATTTTCCAGTGGCGGGTCCTTTTATTCGGAATATTTGGAGCTGTGTTTTATAGCCTGCCCATCACAGGATGACTCCTCCACCCGATGGCTTTCAGATCTCTGAATTTTCTCCATGAACAACAGTGTGTCCAGTCTGACTCTTGCCACGGATGCCAAATGTAAAAGCTTTCCCCATAATATTTTACAAGCTTTTTCCGTGAAGTTTTATTTGTTCCAACCAAGGGGTTCAAATTTTCATTTATGCCTTTGGGGTATGGAGTAAAAATCTTCAAACAGAAAGCAACTTGTGACTTGAATGATTTTTAAACATTGACAACATTATTGTATTCCCTGAGCAGTACAGGGTTTCTGTCCCCGGATCTCACGCTCATTAATTGGACTCCAAACATAGTAAATCGAAAAGAATACGGCCACATTATAAGAAAATTCCTCCCTCACTGCAGACTTGGATGAAGGAGGATATAAAACTTTAGAGCCCAATTTATATTTTCCTATAATTAAAGGCCATGAGGTGCCCCTGATTTCAAAATCTGCAGATGGTTGTTTGATATTTTGTAAATGAGCTCACTTCACATATGGACACAAACACTACAGTTAATAGATGAGTTACAAAAGGGCCTCGTTTAGATATCTGCTCTGATGCCAAATCGTCAAACTCTTCATTGCCCACAGGACTCAGTACACAGAGTGGTAACATCTCCATGCTCTTAAGTTTCTATGGAGCTCAGTATTTTTGTTTATACTTTGCCAAAATCAAGGCAAACCGATTATTTGCAATAGCTGTGCTTAAGAAGACTAAAGGAGTCTCAGTCCCTTTGAGAACCAAATGGCTCTTGACACATAGTCTTGGCAGGCTCCCACATGACAGCTTCTGTAGATGTCACATTTTGGCTAAAAAGTGGTTTTGCTAAGTGTTGAGTTTTTTGGATGTTTCAGAGAAAGAGATCTGGCACAGAGAGATGAGGCTTTGTAATATATCTCAGAGGAGGCTGCACTGATGGGAAACTTTTGTGGGGAGAAAATATGTGGTTAAGAGGACTGGGTGTAAGAAGGGAGCTTGGAACATGAAAAATGAGAAGCTAAGACAAAGACTCCAAAGAAATGAATAAGGGACAAGGTACAGCAAGTCTGAAGCCAAGGCAGGAGGACTCTCCAAACCAACTCAGAAGAGTTTTCCACCTTCTGTAGTTGTCAACACAAAGGGGGTATAGACCAATTCCTGGTTCCTGTGCCCTGGACCTCATTGGCTAGGTAAGGTGTGCTTGACGTGCCTTGGTCCATTTTGTCCTGGTCAGAATATACTGGTTCAAAGAGACCTCAAAGATTAAGTGAATTAAGTTCCTAATATAATGATTAGAACAACGGTGGGAAAAGAGAACTATTCTACCTGGGTAAATCTAGGTAACAGAGTTTAGTGCAGATACTGGGCTTCTTATACAGATCTAAATGAGCTCATCCAATAAAACTCAATTCCCAGGGGAGCTCTAAGTGCCTCAGAATTTGTGCATGCAGAACAGACTTGCTGTCCCTCATTAACACAAAATATCAGAGAATGCTCAAATTCGGCCCATGAGGGAGCCCAAGGGCTACATATACGTAATAGAGAAATTGATAAATACAACATGCTCATATTTCTACTGGACTCAGTATATTACTTTATAAGATACCAGGTGCTTCCTTGGTATAAAAAAATGACAGCTTCAGGGCACTTGTGCAGATCGGGGTGTTAAAATGAAATCCTGTTATTCTGTCTATCATTTTACCATAAAGAAAGGTACTTAGTGAGATGCCAAGTGTAGGTATCCCATAAAAGCTTAAATTTCTATGGTTACCCAACAAATCCCTGAGACAATGAATCAGACAGCTGTAATTTCATCTTTCATGTTTAGAGATGTTGACCTTTGCCACTTACATAGTTATTTCACCCTCTGATACTCTTAACTATATATTAAATTCTATGAAAACAAATGCAGTTAATGAAAAATACCCAGCGAAGTAAAAATGGTAACTTCAAACAGAGTGACAGGAACTACCTCTCCGCTTTTTCTTACAAATAAAATATATGACAGTCTCTTTTTCTCTATCATATATTAAAACTAAGTGGTTTAGTAAGAAAACAAGATTGTAAATGTGAAGTTTCTTATTCATAGCCACACAAATTAATCAAAATAGATATTCTTATATAATAGCCAGGTTATAAACTTGATGTTGACTTTATAGCAAATTGATTTATCCAGGGAAGAAGTTAATAAAATTGAATAGTCTTAGGAGATTTATCATCCCATGAAAGAGAATGTTGGGAAAAAGGTGATGTTCTCAGAAGATCATTCAAAGTGCTTAGTATTTTATTTTAAATCATATGAGTTACTGGAGGGAAAAAACTCATTAGTGAAGAACAAGAATGGATACAATCTGAAATGCTTAATTATGTTTTGACTAGGTAAAGAAGTGCCTTTTTTCACATATATTTTGGTGGGTTGCTTTGCACAGGAAAAATGCTTTGTATAGCAATGTCATTCAATTGTGAGACTAATAGCTTCAGTGTGATAACTCCTTTTTTGCTGGATAGCATATAACTGAGCTTGGTGTTCTTTCATTGGCTTGGCTGAAAACACCTTTAACTCCATCTATTATTTACATTACATCTAATTTCTCAAACACCTACCAGTTATTACACAATCCAGTGGTTTAGTAAACACGTGCAGCAGAGTGCCCATGATGTGTTCAGATACACAGACTGACAGCCAACCATTTCCAATTCTTCCTACCTGTGTACTCAGGTGGACAAAGGCACGTGTAGTTATTAATCCCATCGACACACGTAGAATTATTTTCACAGTCATTATCTTCACAGTCATCAACATTGATTTCACAATGTTCTCCTTCAAATCCATCAGCACAAATACACCTGCCCAGCAAAAGGGGGAAGAAAGTAAAAAATCAAAACAAAGCAAATAAAAACACCCCCTTGCATTTTACAACCATATGGTCTAAATATTGGGGAAAAAACCTACATACACTCATGAATTACAGTACTTTTAACTACAAGAAACTGATTTTTAAAATGCTTTTAAATGACACGTTGTAAGCATCAATTTAAGGTAATATCCTCCAAGTCGGAAACAATTTGGAAAAGCAATCAATTCTGGCTGCAAGATGGCCCGTGGCCCTGCGGCCCCATGAGTCAGTCAATCCAATACACTGGTGGATCCGAAACACCAGCAAGTTTATGTAAGTCTCAAGTGCTGCTCTAGTAAAACAATTCACGCTTCTTTGTTCATAAATGAGGAGGAATTCGTTCTGATTAAAAAAAAACAACAACACCTGCTTCCTTATGTGTAATGCTCTTCATGTCTCAAAACAAACAAAAAAAATTGAAAATAAAACTTTTTCTTCCTTGTAATTATAAAATGTGAATGTTCTCTTTACATCTCAACAAACACAATTTTTTCACTGGCATAAAACATCGTACATTTTATCTTGATGGGCATCAGAATAATCTTTGAAAAGCCTGGATGTAAAAGAGATCATTTCATAACAGAATGCAGAAATAAAGCCCATTTATTATAAAAAGTCATATTTCTAATAAGCTTTAGTAGTACACTAGCATTCACATGTGAAATTATTAGTGTCATTATAAGAACTCTATTTCATAATTCATGAAGTACATCTGAAGTAATTGTACTGTATGATTAAATAACTCCAGATTAAAAATGTTCACAGCATGGTTTTCTACTTATATTGGGGCTTGGAAAGGAATCATTAACTTTCTGTTTCAGTGGAACCTACACACTGTCTTTTAAGCAATACACGTGATAACAGATGAATATATGGCTTGCAGTGGGAGACTAGCTGGCTATTAATTAGCATAACAGAACCACTATCTTGTCTTGAAGTAATCTAACTTGATGAATTGTAATGTGTGCATGTGCAAATTTCTTGATGTTTGTAGACTCCTGCACTGAAAATACTGTAAGATCTCCATTTGTTTTTATATTTCAATATCTCAGAGAGGAACTCATATATATTATCATTATGAATAGATTTCTGGCATTCCTTTTAACATAATCTTCCTTGGTCTGAAAAAGAAAATGCCGATTTGCTTCTTGCTCCAATCCTCCCACCACAGGTCACAGACTAATGAATGACCTACCAGAATCCGTCTTTCTCTCCTTCTTTTAAGTGGCAGGTCCCTCCATGTTTACACGGGTTACTGATGCATGCATGAATCGGGACATCGCAGTCCTGCCCCTGGAGAAGGAATGGCCGAGCAGAGCAGAGTTGAGTGTAAGTCAAGTATTAGTTGTTAGCACAATAAAGTAAGGCAGACCCACCAGAGAAAGCGTGTTCTCAGGGCGCGACTCCTATCATGGCTTCTGCTTACCTTGAACCCATATGGACAGGTGCAGCGATAAAAGTCAACTGGGTCGTTGTTACAAGTGCCATCATTTTTACATGGATTTGACAAGCAGGGGTTACATTTAGCTAAAATTGTCACATCCACTGGACCTAAAATTAATTAAAAATATGAGAAACCGGTGCAATTTTAGTTGACTTAAAATTATTTCAATGCCTTAACGTCACAGTAAATTTTGTATAAAAGTCATTGGTCACATATCTGCATGTAAGTCTCCTCTGTGACAAAACCAAAAATCAGCAGTATCATATTATGTTCAAGAATGCCACAGGCAGACTTCTTCTCACTGATGGGTGGGAAGACTCCCTGACATCACAGTGGGACTCTGGGTTTTGATTTAAGAGGTTAGTCTCAGAGGCTCAATCCCCTCATGGAGGACCAGCTTCTATGGTCGAGTCCCACGGGGCTGAGTGCACCTCAAACTCAGCCAGCTCTCATGGACATGCATGGCAACCATCCCAGAGAACGCTGTGTCAGTGTGTGTATGCATGTGTCCGTGTGTGCATGCACGTAGGGCCAGGGGCGGGTGAATTTTATGAGTAAGTAGACACAGGAGACACAGAACATCACCACTTTTGTGCACAGGGAAATAAACCACGAACAGGATTTGTTATATCCTCCTTGATATCCTTTTGGTTCAGTCTGTCGGCACATTAGCAAAGGTATGCGGTAGGGGAAATTTCTTTATTTTCCTCTCCTAGAAGGATTTTCCATCGAAATGATCTCTCCCTGTAATTCCACTTTTTGGAAGATGTATTTTAAAAAACGAAGATTTATAGTAGGTTTGGATTAAATGCCAATTCCACTGCAGACATTTTCCTTTGCTCCCATCTATTTAATCTGTAAAAGGCTATGGGTGTAGCAATTGTTCCATCCTCCAAAAAAATCCCGTGCCACCCACACTGCTTTCTGCACTGTTGGTGAGAGCTCACTGGACGGTCTTCGGGCAGCTGTCAGATGAGGACACTCTGTCAAGGTGTCATCTTTATGTATAAAATACAAATATTTTAATTTTGGTTCTGCTTTTGCCAGTCTCTCTGAAATACTTTATCTTCATTGAAACAGCAACAATCCTTCCAGCTGCATGTTTGATCGCACATCTTCTCTGGCAAAGTTACCAAGTCAATTGTGCAGCATGCCCCCACGCCTTACGGTGACCGCTGGACCCTTCTGAGGGACCTCCACCCCAGCAGCTGTGTGACTTCTGCTCATATAAACTCCTTTTCATTTCTCTGCAGATCGGAGTTTATGCCTGTGAGATTTTAGGCTATTGATGAAAACTCATGTGAGGAAGAAAGGGTGGCCATGAAAACTGCATAGCTCAGCATCCCAGCCCCCCGGGGAAATGCCAGCCCATTCATGTTTAATGGTTTTGAGGTAAAATCTTAAACAGGATAGTTCTGTGTACGATACAGTCTTTCTGCTAATGAAAACACTGAAATATAGAGATTTCTCTTGCTTTTTCACCACTTTAAATAGATGGCAGTTCTGGGGATGACCGTGCTAATAAGAAGGTGTAGTGTTTGTACTTAGTGACCCCCAGTCATTAAGGGAGGCCTTGCCAATGTCCCCTTTAGTTTTTCTTGGTAATCAAAAAAACTAATGCAGTCTCTGTATCAAATTACAGCTGAAAAATTCCTGGGATTAACGCTGAAGTGATCCTCATAGAAATTCAAACGCTCACCCCTCCCAACTTATTGATCAATTAAGGACAATTATTTAGCCATTAAAAATATTGCAGTAATAAATGGTGACAGTGAGGTTCAAGCTGCAAGTTAAATTATTGTAATAGTCCACAATAAATGGCTTTGTATTTGCTGAAGTTATCACACTTAGAATCAGCAATAGAAAAGAAAATATCTAACTGGTAATGGATCCTCTAGCTAGAAAAAAAAATCTAATTTTGAACAAAGGAGTAAGCTAAAGCAGCTAAGAATGTACACTAGCAAAACAGCACGTCAGCAAATGCAAGGACTGGACACATCCGCCTGGCCACTGTCCAAGACCTTGACAAAAGTTGTCTTTTTATCTATTTCTGTGCTTTCAACCTTGTAAGACTGGTTTGAACAGAGGAGTTCAGGGTTGACAGTTTCTAAGTTTATTCTATGGAATGTGACAGTTTTCAAAAATTATGTTGGATTATTTAAATGAGAGGCTAGAGATTGTTTAGAAAAAAAAATCCCTGGATTCATGGACACATTTTGAACAATTTAATAGAAGATGCAGGTAACAAAATTGGCAGGCTGAAACAGTGCCTGTCCAATTTAACAAACAGTCAAGATTTATTTAATAAATATGCACTGAACCGTATCTGATTAATAAGCACTATCTAATTTCTCTTCTTTGGTTTCCAATATAGCTAAACCTGCTCAATTATTTTCTAGCTGGACATTCTTATTTGAATACAAAGGGAAATCACTGTTCTCTTGAAAACATTCAGTGTAGCAAATGGAATCAAAATAATCAGGTTTACTGTGTACACAGGCCTCTTCTGACAATTTCTTAAACCCATGAATCCTTTTGGTGCTATCGAGATTGGGGAATATAGCAAAATATTGAGTTCAAACTCCTTCAGGTTGGTAAACTTGATTACAATGCTTATCATCCTATTTGCCTCTCCTTTTGAAAAATCCTTCTTTGAAAATCAGTGCTTCGATGATAATTTTTTATTCCTTGTACTTAAGTTTAAGAAAGGGCTAATTCAAAATATTTTTGCAAGTAACATAAATTCCAAATAGCAGCATCTTCTGATATGTCCAAACACCTTAATTCCCTTTCCTGATTTATTTTGATTGTAAATCCATCTAACTAAACCTCCTTCTTATAATGTGATTTATACACCTACACGGTTTACCTAAATCTTTTATTTTTTTATTTTTTATATTCTAATCCATTTGGAACTACAGTTGACCCTTGAACAACTCAGAGGTTAGGGGCACTGAACCCAAAGCAGTTGAAAATCTGCAGGTAATTTTGATTCTCCCCAAACTTAAAATTGCCTCTTCATAACTGTGGGGGATTGGTTCCAGGACCTGCAGTGAATGCCAAAATGTGCAGACATTGAAGTCCCCCTATAAAGTGGGCAGGTCACCGCACACAGTCTGCCCTCGGCAACCTCTGACTCCCAGCTGCAGACAGAAAAGAGTATGAGGTATTTATTGGAAAAGATTCATACATAGGTAGACCCACAGTTCAAACTCATGTTGTTCCAGGGCCAACTCTCCCTTGTGTCTGGGTGCCTCCTCTCATTCATCTTCCCACCCAGAATTTGCTCCTCTTCTAAGACTATCTTCTACCTTCTGTTAGTCTTCCACTTATAATTCATTTTCCTCCCAGGACATGTGCTCCGAGATCGTCTCCTGTGAAGTTTGTATTCAAAAGGAATGACATCTTGAATCCGTTTCTATAATAAGGAGATGGTATCAGAGTGAAAAGGAGATGCTAAAAAACTAAAAATGAAACGGGGAAGAGTTCACACAGCTCTCTAGAAGCAAGCCAACACTTGCCGAATTGTGCAAACTTGACTAGTCCCCAGTGAAAAGATGTCCAGGGACAGGAATTAGAAAAGTCTTTTAGCATAATGCATGATAACGGAGGACCATCAACTCAAATTAGTAACCTAGATTTGTCACTTAGGTGTGTGGCATTAGGAGAATAATGGTAGCCATCTCAAGGGCTTGTTTTAAGCATTAAATGAGATGCTAGGTTCAAACGAACCTAGCATTCAAAATGAATGCTTGAGCACAGAAAACAGTGAGAGCTAGCACAGAGCCACAGAAAGTTCTGACAATCTTCCTAGACTTCCAAAGAAGGGAGGGTAATGGGAAAAAACATGTGTGGTTTACCAAAAAGGAGAAACACTTTTTCTCCTCTGTTCTACCTCTGCCTGCTTGCCCAAATTTAACACAGAAATAGGCCAATTAGAGCTTGTCATTTAGCCTTCTGTCCATGCCAGGAGCTACTCAAATTTGGGAAAACTGGAGGGGCCATTATTATCACGACCATCGGAGAATGGAAGTGGGCGCAGAGAGAGAATCACCCATCGGGTAACAACACACAGTTAATGATTTTGTATTTTTAAGACTGCAACTTTGACTTGTAAATCTGGTCTGGACCACCACCAGAAATAACACTACAGCAGTGAAAAGCAGAGGGTCTCTCTTCTTCTTGCATTTGGTTTAATTAAGAAACTTTAGCTGGGTTTGATACACCTTTGCTGATCTTCAGTCTTTCTTCCTTCCCCAGGTAAACTGGTTCTAAGACTTGTTAAAGTATTTCCAAAACATCAGCCCTCCTGAGATATGGGCGGCAGAGGAGAAAAGCAATCTAGCTCCGGGGATACACATTTGCACTAATGTCACTTAAGTAAAAGAAGCCCGTGTAGCCTAAATAGACTGAAGTTTTAGTCTTGATTTAAGAGAGCCTTCTAGCATCAGCTATCTGGATCGGAGGTGTGTTTAACTTAATAATTCAAAGGGAAAATGAGAAGAAAGTTTGGTTAACAATTTGTCTCTGTCAGTTACTTTAATCTTTAATGGAAGAACTGCTGGACCTCAAATCCATTAAAGCTTGTAGGCAGACTTGCTTACTTGACTCAAATCACTAGCTACGCACCTGACACCAGTATCGCCACCCACTGAGAATTGTATCTCACTTTGATTTATGACTAAAAGCTGCCTACAAATTCCTAACTATATCCCAGAGCCTGCCTTCATTCTGGCATCCCTTCGATACATGAGTCAAATAACAAAATCCTCTAGCATTGACCTTGTAAGGAGTCTGAAGTTTGTCAAAGACAACTCAGAAAAATCGTAGGGGATGTTTGAGGTTGGGCATAATTAACTAGGAGGTTTTCACTTAAAACCAAAGATTCTATATCCAACTTGCACTTACATTATTGCATTTATTAAGCATGGATATCAATAACATATTTTAACATCCATCACTGTCATTCAATTACCAAATATTTATTGAGGGACTATTTTTTGCAAGGCACGAGACTAAATTTTGGGGGTTCAAAGCCAAGTGAAATGCTTGAGTTTCTAGGAAAATATTAGAGGTTAGCAGTAAGACATACTTGTATCAACTATAGGACATAATGGTAAGAGGATGTGGGTAATATGAGTGTATGTTTTAAGTATCTACAAGCCATCCAGGGGGAGGAATTTACTAAGTGACTGAGAGTATGAATCTAAAGTTCACAAGAGAAGTCATGGCTAGATATCTGAAGCCATGAGGTTGAAGTCAACTAATTTACTAAGGCTAAGGAGAGAAGCCCATGCATGTCAGTATTAGAGAATGGGTAAGAAGTGTCAGCCTAGGGATGAAGAAAGGCCAAGTGAACGTGCCAGGAGGAGCAGTGGCTGCCATTGTACAGGGTGAAGAGACAGCCAGTACAGATAACTAAAAGATGCCACTGAAACCATCAAGATGGGAGTTGCTGACATCTAAGCTTCGCTGCTGGGGTGAAGACGGTCATGGAACAATAGGGGGTTAAAACCCTATAAATCTGCAGTAAAATCCTATACATGGTTTCCCCGGATGAAAAAGGTCCTCAAAGGGAAACATTTTGCTGATATAAATAAAACAAAGATCTGCAAAAGCACTAAAAGGGAACAAAATTGACAAGTTCAAAAATTGTTTTGTCCAGTTGAAAAAAAAATCTGATAGGTATATTGCATCAAATGTACTTTGAAGAGGACTGAAGTTTAAATGTACAAGAATAAATACAAAAATTTTGATGAAAAAATTTCAGGATTTTTTTGGTCACCCCTCGTACATGTTTGAATTCTGAGAACACTGAATAAGCTAGTGGGGACCAGGATGCTCTAAGAATAGAACATAAGTGTGTAGCTTTTTCAAACTGTTACCATCATTTCAAAAAACATCTCCAAGAAACTTCAAACTCTAAGAACTACAGCTAATCACTAGCATTTAAAAAAAATAGAGTACATGCATCCGTGAGCACAGGAAGGGTGTCACAAAACTAGTCTGAGGGTTCTCAACTTTCCCCACACAAACTTTCTAAAACTCTTCTGCCCAATAACATTTCTGAGAATAAGTGTGCGTGGCAGTTTCTCCTTCCCAATGACAATCACCCCCACGTTACAAAGCATTGCGGTCCTCTCTGCCCAGAGACTCACCATGGGCCACCGGCCCAAGGACATTGCTACAGTCACAAAGAACAAGGTAAAATACTGGTTACTTGCAAAGGCTCATGCAATCCATGCACGTAATCCCAGAGAGGTATTATCAATAAAAGTCTACTTTCAATGTTCAATAACAATGTTAAAATGTGGGTGAATAATTATATCATCCCAGTCAAGGACTCAAGTATTAGTGGGAATAATTTAGTTAAAAGAAAAATTTAAAAACTCACAGATTCTTGGTGGTAGGAAATTAAAAAAATTAATTTTTACAAATGGTTTTGTAACAAAGAATGGTACAATACTCCGAGGTACTGGAAATAGCGATTCAAGGAGAAAACAGAAGTTCAAGGAAAAAAAGAAGGATCTTGTTTTTGTCTTTTAAAATTAGCTGTTATATTTAGGTTCCACCAAATACACTGAAAAGAATAATGGAAGAGCTTTGTTCTAAAATGTCAAACTTTGCAATGCACTGCAAATGACACATTTTGCAATCATTTATAGCTATGGAAAAAAGCATTAGATGCCAAGTTAAAAATATTTGGAGGGAATATAGTTTTTGAAAATTCCTTCTTTAATCAATAAATCATGGACAGTCCATCATCATTTTTTGCTGGTCTTTTGAAGTGTTATAATAATAAAATCAGCAGTTAACCTATATTGGTTCTTCCTGTGTATATGGTAACATGTTTTACAGTTATCACATAAAATATATCTTTCCAAATTTTATTGAAGAATAAATGGCTCTGGCTGGTGTGGCTCAGTGGATTGAGTGCCAGACTGCAAACCAGAGGGTCATCAGTTCGATTCCCAGTCAGCGCACATGCCCGGGTTGTGGGCAAGGTCCCCAGTAGGAGGTGCTTGAGAGGCAACTGCACATTGATGTTTCTCTCCCTCTCTTTCTCCCTCCTTTCCCCTCTCTAAAAATAAATAAATCAAATCTTGAAAAAAGATATCCTAAAAAATAATAAATGGCAAATATCCTGGTATTTATTTAATGTGTGCAATGTAATGATTAAATACATATATGAAGTGGAATTAAGACAATTAATGCATCTGTCACCTTGCCTAGTTAACATTTTTCTGTGTGGTGACAATGCTTAAGATCTATTCAGCAACTTTCAAGTATACAATATTGTATCATTAACTGCTGGCACCGTACAGAACATTTCATCCTCACAACTGAAAGTTTGAACACTTTGACCTCCAGCTGCCCAGCTTCCCTTTCCCCCAGCCCCTGGCAACCACCATTCTATCCTCAGTTCATATAAATTTGGCTTTTTACAACGATTCCATCTAATCCTAAACTCGTTTGGGTGTGTACTATCATTGTCTCTGCCCACGTATGAGGAAATGGAGGAGCAGTGCAGCTAAACTAGGAAAGCTCCGTAACTACTGAACAGAGAACCCGGTCCCCAGTCCCGGACCGATCAGGCTGGGCTGCAGCACTCGTGCTGTGACCCACTGCACAGTGTCACCCACTCAGACACGCCTTCCTGCCTGGGTATGTGAACGCAGGGGGCTTCTCTTCTCAGCCAGGTTTGCGAGCCTGGCAAGGCCAGAGCCCAGCAAAAACTTCTGCATGCTCCCTGATACCTAGGATTTAGTTTTACACATGAGACATGTTGAATAAACACTGGCTGATTATACATGTGGAAGTTTCAAGAATTTCCTCCATTTAGTAACTATGGGTGGCCCTCTTGGATATCTACAAGAATAATAACCTCTTCCATTTTTGGTAAAAATCTAAATCCATACTTTTGACTAGTAAACATGGAAAAAATATACAAAAACAAATTCAACAGTGGCTACTTCTAGGTATTGGGATTAATGGTTCATTTTCGTTTTTATAGAAATAAAATGTTCCTTTTGTTTACATTTTTTCTTTAGATTTTTCTATGCTGGGCATATATTATTCTTATAATAAAGGCAAAAATGTCTTACTAAGATGCTATTTCGAATTCACAAATACATAAAACAAGGGGGAGGGAGGGGACACAGAGAAGGAAGAAAACCCACATTGTCCCAGGAAGAGGGCAGCACGAGGGGCCAGTGGGGAGGTCCAGCCTGACACTCGGGTGGGCTCATCTCCTTACCTGGTGTCAGGAGGACACAGGGCCCTGGCATCCCTGGGAGCCGGGCACATGTTCAGACAAAGCAAAAGCAAAATATTTTACTTGTTAGAGGCTATGAAAGAAATTTCCAGAAGCTGTGTACTCTTCATTTCTTCACAGATTTTAAAGAAAACTTAGTAATTTCCAGTGAACTATTTCTGCAATGTATTTGAAAAGTGTAATCCTTGACTGGGGCACTGCAGGTAGCCTCTCTGTCTCGTCCAAGCATGGGTGGAAAGAGTAACTCGTTACCGGGACTTTGCAGCTATACCTTTAAAATCTAGGGGCGGAAGGTATTCTTTTTCTTTCGAAACTCATAAGGCAGATGCTTATTTACAGAAATACAAATGATTAAAAACCATACCTTGACACGTAAATTTTTTGGAGGGAGTTGTGAGTAACAGTTTATCGGCCATTTCCCCGGGACCAGCACAGCGAGCAATGCCAGGTTCTTTGTATTCTGACTTGACCCAGTCGGATAACCACTGCATGTTGCAGTCACAGTACAAGGGGTTGGCTCCGATTGCTCTGGAAAACAGAAGTGTACACATACACACACAGTGTGGGCATATTATTTTCTAAGGGAACATAAAGGGATGCTTAGTAGAAAATCTCTATGGGTTTGTGGACAAAACCAATTTAGAAGAAAATGGTGGCATCCGGATTACCCATCTTCCTGAATTGTGTGCAATGGAGATTTAGTGAGTTGTCACCAGTGTCTAGTCACCTGAAATTTAGACAGTCCCCTGGTATTTGCAGAGACAGGTTTGTACGGGGTGCAGATCAACACATCCTTCATTTGACATATATTGAATGAGAACCCAATTACTAACTAGGTTGTGGGGACCCAAATATAAAAATGACATTAACTCCAAAGATCTCCTTCTGCAACATACGCTCATAAGTGCCATAAAGTGTCATTTAGAAGTGCTCCAGTAGAAATATTTATGCACAAGATGCCTCTGAACAGAGGATAAGTCCTCTTGTGGCAGGGCAGGGAGTGGTGGTTAAATATGACTAGGCTTGTAGATGGCCAAGTAGGTGGGAAATATTGGAAAGGGTGTTTTGGGGTAAAAATCTAATAAGTACAAAGGCACAAAGATAAGAATAAACGTGAAATAATAAAGATGCATAAAGCTAGCCCACCAGAGCTGATTCAGACTTTAGTTGGATGCATGTTGCTTCAGGAAGTGATTCATTTAGAGCTTTGGTCCCTCCTCACGTCAATTGCAAGAAAAGTAATCACCACGATACTAGCACGAACTGCATCCCCCCAAAGGCAGTAACTGTGCTAGGCCACTAATTTACATGAATTTCCTCACTTGGTCCAAAGTAGCTTCCCTCTTACTGTTAATATCCCATTTAAAGACGAAGAAACTGAGGCCAAACAAGTTAACCAATGGGTTTGTAAAACTGCCAAGTTTGGGCACAAGAGAAATATAAAGTGCCATTTAAAACCTGACTAACTCTGATGGATAATTAACTTCCAATTAGTCATATTTTAGGTCTACGGTCTAAGCAATATTAATTTTACTCTTTTATTAGAAAACCATCAAAATATGCTTATAAAGCCATAATAGTTTATATTGTAATTTTAGCCCGACTGTAGCCAAAAATTGGACTACATGTTATACTCAAATACGTGTCATATTCAAACCCTTCTTCTAGATTAAAAATGAGCAAATGATGTTTTTGAGTCATTTGAACTCATGTTTAATGGCCTTTTCTAAGTCCTAGGTCAGGGAATGCAGAAGGAAAAATGACTAGAGCAGAGCCCTTCACAGTCTAGGGAGTGAAAGACAAAAGCACAGATTAAACACACGACTGACTAGAACACATCATGACAGAGAAGATTCAAACTGCCCTCCCTAGTGTGGGGTGGTCATACCGAGGAACATTCTGCTCCTTTCAAGCCACACCTTTCCACCGCCCCAAGGCAAACATATGGCCACTTCCCGCCCTAAGGTGCCCCATCTGCTGAGCAGCGCTACAGTCTTATACCCTGAAGTGCTAGTTTTCATCAACTTTGTGTCTCAGGCAACTGATATCCCTGTAGTTTTTCAAAAGAGTGGCCCTGACCATGACTTTGAGGTAGCTGTTGGGGCTCAAATATGAAAACAATGAGGGTTTTGCCTCCCAGGACCTAAGGTTCATGGAAGGAGGCCCGAAACAGTCAGAGCTACAAAGACCTACACATAGGGCGAATTCACATGCAGCAGCGCGATTGACAACCAACTCCTATCCTATGTCCACCCCCTTCCTCAATTTCTACGCATCTTCTTTTCTTGGGATTTGGTGGGTTTTGGAGAGAAGGGCAATGCCAAGAGTGAACAGGGCAGGAAACCTTTTCTGGGGACTGGGAACCAGCTGACATTGATACTTAAAGTAAAGCAGAGAACTGCTCCCGGTAGATGCCAAGTCAACCTGATATAAGAACACTTTGAATTCCAGGACTATTCCCCTGACTTGCTTCCAGGTTTGCCAACGTCTTAACATACAACTAAAAATAACAGAATAATGGAATTTGACCCAGGTGAGTTTTGGGACCCCCTTTTATCCTATATTCAATTGTACTTCCAAGAAATATGGCGATACAAAGGAAAAAAATTCACTCAACATGAGGATTTGGCTATTTCCCTCTACCACACTATAAAGTCTTGAGTTGTGTCTAATTAATTTTCTCACTGTGCCATACTCAGTGTTGAATATTTGCTAAATAAATGAATCCTCTTTCAGCAAATCAGGATAGGCTTCATGAAAGAGGTTGGGGTATAAATTAGAAAAGCTGGATTTCAAGAAATTGAATCAAGGAAGAGCCAATATTCAGAGAACATCAAGAGAAAAGGCATCAGCTAGGAAGTTAGGAAAGCCATGTTTGCAAAAAGAAATACTTTTTTTGTAAGCTAAGAGAACTCAACTAATGGGGAGTAAGGGCAAAATTAATAAATTAAGGCTATCTTATGGAGTATACCACATGTATATTGAAAATCTTTACATTTTTGTTAAAGGTGAAACTAATCACATGTGAAGATGTGACCATAAAAAGTGAACCACAGTACCTGGGCTCCCAACTCACTGGTCAGGGGCAGTTTCACACCTAAACCCACAAGGGGAACTAGGTACTCACAGGTGTGATAATGCAGAAAGGTCATTGAAAGCACCTTCAGGCACAACAGAAATGTCATTTCCATGTAAAGAACTGAAAGCAAGAAAAGCAAAATTAAATTTCCTAGAATTCAGAGAGTTCATAAAACCCCCATGCATGTACGCACTTCAGTTTATAATAAGCATTTTAACTCAGTGCAGACAAAATGGTCTAATCAACAAATAGTCGTGGTACGACTGGATATCTATTTTGGAGAGCAAAAAGTTAGTTCCTACCTCACATCATATGCACAGATTAAATTCTAGATTGAAGAGTTAAGTGTAAAAATAAAACTAAAGTGCACTAAATGAAATGGAGTAAATGAAAGTACTCCATAAACTCAGAAATCATAATGAAAAGGGTTGACAAATTTTTGACTACATAAAATACATTCATAATATGAAAGATTATATGTCAGGGACAGAATAGAAAATATTTGCACCATATATACAATACGAGGAGTAATTCCTCTGTGAAAAGACCTGTAAATTTATAGCCGAATGCTAGATAGATAAAAATATGCACATTAATAAGAAAAGGAAAAAGTACCCAATAAACCTGGGAAATGATATCATCAGGCCCATAGATTCATCAGCATCAATGTTCAATAAAAAAATAAAATATACTCAAATGTTCTAGTGATTGGAATTGCAAATTAAAGTAGAAATGAAAAATAAAGTTCCATTTATCACACGACAAAAATAAAAAGATTGATAATATTCAATATTTGCAAGAGTGCTTTAAACCAGGAACTCTATTCAACAGTTGGTGGAAAAAATAAATTTGTAAAGTGACAAAATCTTGCAAGCAGGACAACATGACAGTGATTTTTGGTACTTTTTCCCAGTGGACTTGACAGTAACTGCCGACCCCAAATCACTGCTGTAATCCCAGCACATTCGCACCAGAGTGAACCTGTGGGATGTTCTTTAGAGTGCCATAGAGAGTAAGGAAAAGTTGGACGTAAAACATCTGAGAGTGAAGATGTGGCAGAACAAGTTATATCTATGTTTTTAAAATGTATATAGCCAGAGGCATACCTCTGTCACCATATCAAACCAAATGTGTACACAGGAAGACCAGAAAAGAACGTCAAATTGTGTAACAGTAAGTTCTTGGGGAGGGTGCTGGGATTGAGAATCATATTTATTTCACATAATTTAAAATTTATATATTATGAAGTCAGTAAAGAAACCAAAGTTCCTACATTTAAAAAAATTAGTTGGCTCTATGCAAAATTTACATATAAGTATTACATATTATCAGATAAACAGCTAGAGCAAAAACAAGTATTACAGGAGAGAAAATTATATTGTCCAAATCAAAGCAGTTGTATAATAATACAATGAGATATGATTCTCCAAGTTTGTAGTAAATCCCAATGCATATATCTGAAACACCCACGAATCAACAAAGCAGTTAAATCATTAAATAGACTCAACCCCTGAGAAAAGAGTTATTTTGCTGAACATAAGATACTTACAGTAATCGAAGAGACTTCAATCCATCGAAGGTTCGAGGGGGAATACATCTCAGACGGTTGTAGCTGAGAATCCTGAAAGCACACATAAGCCAACTTATCTTACCCAGGCATCCTCAAATGGCCAAATATCATTTTTAAAATAAAGCAGTTAATGAAAGGCTTATTTTAGCATCTTATAAATTGAGAATAATGACACATCCTATTTTTTAAAAATATTTGTGTTGTGTCCCTAATACAGCCTATTTTTTTCCTAACCACAGTCCCAAGGACTTCCTCCTGCGGCTGGGTGCTGATGCCTGGACTACGCCCACCTGGAAGTCACTCTCTCCAGATGCTTGCTTACACATCTCTCCTAACCCCACTGCAAGTCTACAGTATTCTTTCTGTGTTTTACAGGACCCAACATTTTTTTTGCAACGCCCCGCATTTTTTGGCTTACTGAGGAATTATTTGCCTCTCCCAAAAAGCATTACATCCCATGAGGGCAGAGGCACTATCTGTCTTGTTTATCAGGAATATCCAACATCTAGGAAATGCAATGTGTCCAGTGAATTAACAAGAAACTTGGTACCACGTTGTCACACTCACAAGGTGAGGAGCTGGGTCATGTTGCTGAAGCTCTGGTTAGAAAGGGTGCTTATCCGGTTGTTACTTAAGTCTCTAAAAGAGAAACAGAGATGGAGTCTATTGTTACCACAGAAACTGAAATATGAGTGATTCCTAAAAAGAAAAGCTCTTTTGTTTCACAGTCATGGCAGCACTGTTAGCACTCCACTTCTATCTGGACATGACAGAATACTGGGTCACCCTCTGGAGTAGACGGTGATGTTATTCATGCCCTGGTCTGTTGAAATTAGAAGGGACCAAACACCTCGCTCTGGCCAGGCAAGTGTGGGCACTGGAGCCAGGTTCCCTTCAGCACAGATTTAGAGGGAGCTCACTTCTCCACATCCCTTCTCTTCTCCTGTAAGGCTCGGTGACCTTGTTCTCCAGACCCTGTGACACTTGTCCAGTTCCAGGGCAGAGATGTGTGGAGGCCGGGTAGCCAATACAATGGGCACATTTTAGAGGTGAGAAAGAAACCTTTGTTCTGGAAAGTTCCACCAGGTGTACAGGCTTTATCTTTATTGGAGCATATCCTCTCTAATACACAGTCAGACTTGATAGCTGAAAGCATCCCTCATTTAATTACCTTCACAATGCCATCATTAAAAACAATGCCACAATTAAAAGCTTTGCCCTTAGCAAAGTCACTACCACATAGCAGGTCCTCAGTAAATATCTGTTTAATGCACCATAAGTAAATGAGAGACATTAAGTTTTTACAAATGCTAAATGGCTATTTATAAGTGAATTTTGTACTATGACTTATAATTTACATATAGTAAACTTATTTTATTATTATTATATATGCAATATATGTAACATAATATAACAATATATACAAATGTAATATATAGTGCAATGTAATAATATATGACGTACAAATTTTGTGTTTTGCTTTAGAAAAATTAGCCAAAATTTTTTTTGGCTTTTTCTTAATTTCTTTGTTTTTTCTTAATTTTTTCTAAATTTTTCTGTAAGATAGTTCTAGTAGTGCTTAGTTGTCTTTAACTTCATTCAAAACAATTTTGTCAGATTGTATTGTGACATATCAACATGCATTCTAAAAATACTTATTGGAATTGGTGAATTTTTGTGTTGCCATTTTAACATTGAAGATGGAAGAAAATAAGTAACATTTTCAGCATAGAAGGTCTGTCCAGAAAAAGTCCAGCCACTGTTAATATAATGAGGACGGTTTGCAAGACATTGATGTAACGTGGCAGCCAAGGAGGATGGAGTGGAGTGGGTACACATGAACAATAATGACTTCACTGTACTAGTCAGTGGGGATAGTAGTGGCCGTTGAGTGAGCATGTATGTGTACTGTGTGGCCATCAGTTTCAAAATCACTGAGTGAGTAGACCAGTGAATCTTCATAAGATTTAAGATTAAGCTTGAATGTTCCTCTGTGGAAACTATTCAAATGACTCAAAAGAGCGTGGCTATGGGCAACTGCTGATTGGCAGCTTCACCGTGACAACATGTCTGCTCATGAATTTTACATCTTGTGCAGAGTTTTTTGGTGAAACATCCATCAAATCAACCAAGTGACTCAGCTCCCTATAGCCCAGATATGGCACCCTACAACTTCTGGATTTTCCCAAAACTAAAATCACCTTTGAAAGGGAAGAGATTTCAGACTGTTGATGGAACTCAGGAAAATATAACAGGGCAGCTGATGGAGACTGGGAGAACTGTGTGAGGTCCCAAGGTGCCTACTTGGAAGGGGACTGAGGTGTCATTGTCCTCTATATAATGTTTCTTGTATCTTCTTTAATAAATGTCTCTATTTTTCATAAGACATGTCTGGATACCTTCTAGACAGACTTCCTATTATGCTGTATTATTTCAAGAAAGGTAAAAATACAACTGAAACAGAAAAAGATTTGTGCAGTATATGGAGTAGGTGCCGTGAATGATCGAATGTGTCAAAAGTGGTTTGCGAAGTTTTGAAGTTTTATGCTGCAGGTTTCTGGCTGGACAATACTCCATGGTCAATTCGACCAGCTGAAGTTGATAGCGATGCAGTCGAGAGAGTAATTAAAGACAATCAATGTTATACCATGAGGGAAATAGCCGACATGCTCAAATCAATAAAGTTATTGGTGAAAATGTGTCTTTTATTTTATGGAAAAAACAATACAGACATTTTGGCCAACCCAATACATTTCCTGAATTGCTAACGTGCTATACCTAAAATTTAAATGTAAATTACTATACCTCTATCAGCAAAATTACTTGCCTGCAGCTGTATAATGATTCCTGGGTTAAACTATTTGTGGATCTGCAAATTCTCATTTTTCATCTTCAAATTGGTTTTAAATAATCACATGCTGTCCCATAAATGACCCAATTCTGCTTAAGTGACCCTTTAGAAATTACAGCAATTTAATGGTTTATTTAACTGAACGAAATGTATATAATCACTTCTTGCTGCTATTAAATAAATACTAAAGTCAGAACATGACACCTTATTCTTGTTTTTTCTTAATTTCATAATTTTTTAAAATAGGCCTGCATACTTTTTCCAAAGTGTTTTCCCATATTTTTAAGGAACATTAAAAATTATTAACATCATTCAATTAACCTCCCACCTCTCTATGTTAACATTTACATTAAGAAATGTAACATTTTCTGCTACCTTGGTTTTTAGAATTCACTAATTAGGAATAAACCTCCTTATTACAGAAATACTACAAATCTGCCTCCTAAATCAGTCATATTTACTCTAAAATCAGATAGACTTAACCTAAAGATTAAGTATATCCCTTTATATTCACTATTGTTGCAAATATTTTGTTTTGTGAAATTTTATCAATTCCTATCAAGGCTACTATAAGTGTAACAGTATAGAGGATAAAATTATATATATTTTAAAACTAGTTTGCCCTTAACTAGATTGAAATATTTGTATGTTTTAAATGTAATCTTCTACTTAAAACTTTAAAAAATATTATTTATGTACATTAACAAAAAAGATGTTATTTTAGGGGATCAAGCCAAACAAAAAATTCAGAACTTTGAAATTTATATTCAGAATGGCAACATCTTTGTCAAATTTTCTTAAATATGGTATAATATGGGCTACAAACATGAATTTGAACCCTGGAAGCCCATAACTTAATCCATAATTTATTATATAAGAGAATTAAACCTAGTAAGCTGGGTTTATATTTTCAGTAAGACTACTACCATCTACCAACTTTTGCTTAAAGTCAAGAATAAAAATACTGTTTTCTATTTTTTCTTTCCTTGGTTTGTCATAAAATAGCCCATGATCATTATGAATAGAAGTATCCTCTTTGCTGCATTTTTCCAGTTCTTTGAAACACAGACTTAATCATATTTGTAATTTGAAGAGGAAGACCTTTTCCTAGGAGTGCCTTTGCCTGACTGACACATAATGAAGAAGCAACCAGTAACCAGAACCACACAGTGAGCGAGGAGGGAGCGGCTCCCTGTGAATGATTTATATTATCTGAAAGGTTCACTACATCTCTGCCCCTCGCTCTCCCTGTTTTTGTGAAACGGAATAGCGTTTCATGAAAGAAACACAGCATACATTACTTACATGAGCGTTAAATGTTTGTAGTTAGAGAGTTCCTTAGGAATCAGTGTAAACTGGTTCCCATCCAGATACCTGCAAATGAGGAAATAATATTATCTTTTTTTTAAAGTAACAGTAGTGTACTTTAAAAGAATTGAGCACTGTTTCACTCTCAATGGAGGCAAGGAAGCACATGGCAATTTTGACTTTAATACAGCATGTTCCTAGCTGAGATTGCTATTTCAGAGAAGAGGGGAAAATGCACTTTGTCCAAACCCATAGAATTCTGCTGTGGACCACTATACTAAATTCTAAAACCAAGGAGAGACTGGGGAGTCCAGTGCTTTGTAGCCTATCTAAGAAGGCTGGCATATGTCCAACCATCTTCTCGTCATCAAGAAGGTTCATTCAGATAACCACAGTTTTAGTCAAACTGCAGTTGACTTGTGTTGATGGGGAGTTAATACCATGACAGGCATTCGCTGCTGGCGGAACCTCACTGTTGAGGTCAAGACTACTCTTCGCTGCCTCAATATGTATCAACACACTTCGGGAACTGCAACGGGTGGTGTAAAGGAGACACTTGGGAATTCAAACACAATTAGATGTCAGTTAACAATACCTCAAAAATAGCTTTTGCCACTGTATATCTACCTGATGATATTAATTTTAGGAGGTTTCTTAGGACATCACATTTATCAAGTGCACAATTACAGCCTATATATGTGGAAGTAATAATAAAAAAACTACACATAAGTAAAATTTCCCATTCTGATTGGAACCAGCAGACTAATCAGAAAACAGATCGGCTCTGGGATAACTGGAAAGACATGAAAGTAAAGGAATGTTTAAAGTTATATCTACAATGTTACCCCCTGCCACACACACAAGAATAAATTCCATCTCCTCCCGAGGCTGTTCTTCCCCAGAACATAGACAGTGGAGGGTGCAAATGTCTTTCATTCACTTTGGGCACCTAGTGAAGATGTGCCCCAGTCCATTTTGGCACGCTGGGCCCGTGACCCCTCTTGCCCCTGTGTTGTGGTCAATGTCAAGACCCAGGGCTGAGGTTAGTACTTTTGCTGGATAGAGCAGTAGCAGAGAAACTACCTAAGATAACAATCTGTTTCAACTATTTCAAAATGAAAACAGTTATATAACAGTCACATATGACCACAATACCCAGTAAATATTTGATTAAGACCCTGCACATTATGCTTCCTCACGCCTACTCAAATTTTCTGACTTTGTATTTCATCTCTTCCCTCATTTCTTTCCCGGAGTTAAATTCTTCTTGTAGCCACTAGACGGCAGCCTAACCCCACACACCTCAACACTCTCCCTTCATTCCAGAAAATGTCTTGAGAGAAAGCAAAAAAGATTCAGAGAGTGTGCTGTGGGTGTTTACACATGAAGCAATCTAAGAGGAAAATCACAGGAAAATGATTAAAACCAATAGACATCTTTTGTTTTAAAATTTCTACTGATGATATTTTGCTAAACGCTTTAATGATTTAATATAATTAGCCCGTGGAATTTTTCTAATGCATGCATACAAATTCCTGTACAGAGCAATCCTGCTGACTGGATACAGCTCTAAGAATAAACTCTCTGGGAGGTAAACTTCTCTAGAAGTCACAAGAGATGAGCTGATTCCCTCCGCACACCTGTTTTCTTTAGCAAAGATTACATTGTAAAACTTGGTGGAGAAAAGACCGAGGACTTGACTGTGTGATGGAAGAAACACATCGATGGCATAGACAGACTGTAAATTGAGCAAGCTCTCAAATGTAGTTTCATACGGAAATTAAAGAAGGTTGAAATAAATATATATATATATTTCTAAATTATTTACTGGGAGCCTGGTAAAATGACTAAGGGAGGGGCCAGTTAATACAAGAAAAGCATCGCAGCAAAGACAGTTGGAATTCTCCACCGAGAGCCCTATTCTAGGCTTGGGGCTCCCAGAATCAGGGCTTTGTATACAGAGTACTCTATGGGCACCTAGTTCCTCAACTCTGGGTGGAGGGTAATCATCTGAAATAAACACGCATTAAAGTAAGGATTAAGTATTTAATTACATACATGCACACACACAAAGCTGTGCTTACAGTTAGTTAACAACTGTGACTGGCAGGAAGAGAGAGAAACCAATCATTTTATAACTATTCAAATCTAACAAGGACTTTTTGGGTACATACGCTAAGATCACACGGTTTTTATCTGAATGTTCAATTCAGAACCAAATTAGGATTCACAGAGCTGCCCACGATTTGGAAACAAGTTTTTTTTAAAACTGAAGTGGTGTCTTCTTAAACCTCATTATGTTCCATGTTGCCAAAAGTCCATCAAAGCTGCTCATTTGGAGTGCTTGCATACAGCTGCATTAATTACAGGTACACATTTGCATGAGTTAGAGTTGCACTTAAATCATTTTTGACACATAGTTCCTTACAGACAAAAATCAATGAGGCAAAATGACTCAGTTGCAAGTCAAGCATTTGGACATTGCCCATTCGTATACACACAAAGGAATGGAGTAGAGTATGCATGCATTATTATCTAAGCAGCTTATTCTGATGTATTCCATTCCCCAACAGAGCACAAGGCAGCTGAGGTGTGGGTAGTGCTTAGCTCCTAGACATGTGTGTGCTGACCACGTAACTTACGGTCAAATCAGTCAGGAAAATGTCAGGAGGTCATTGGCTCCAAACCCTTTACAAACTAAAGGGCTCCAATCCAAATCCAAAGGGCAGTTTTTCTTTTTAAAGGTAAAAAATTATGCCAGCTTTTTGCACTCCCCAGACATTAATGTATCCCATATGGTGAGATATTCTCCTAAGGGATGCGGAGGTGAAGAATAATTAACCATATGGAATATCTCAGACACTAAAGATAAACTAAATATACAGCGTCCCCCAAGGCGCATTGATGAAACATCTTATAAGACAATAAGAAAAGGGCTATAGGAACATGTAAGCATGGGAGCATCCTTATTTTTCACCATCCTCTCTTGGCATGTCACAGTGCACCCTAGCATGATAAAGGCACTGAAAATCCTGCAGGGAAGAATGGAGAACAAGCCCAACCAGCATCTCCCAGGGGTTTCTGGACCAGCTTTCCTATTATTTGTTTAAGGTTTTAGGTGATGCTAATTGAAGGCCCAGAGAATGTCATTTGCAAACAGGACTCTGAAACCTTTTGTTTGGTGCCCATTTCCCTTGGAGTGTGACGTATTCATTATTCAGAAAGAAGAAAGACATGCTTACTTACAGTTCAGTGACATCTCTCGGAATTCCTTTGGGTAAGACCTTCAAGCCCTTGTTGCTACATCGGACCACTGTGTCCAAGCAGGTGCACTCTGTGGGGCAGCGGGAGAGTGGGGAGCAGCTGTTGTCATCATTTCCTAAATTGTGGAAAGATACACAGGAAAACCCAGATTTGCGGCATTGACAACATGAGAAGCAATTCCATGCTTTGACATGAACACAACAAGCACCAATCTTGAGCCATATGACCACTGATATATAGGGCTTTAGGGATTTATGGATTGATGCCATACATTTACGATAGCACCAGAACAGTCACCATGATGCCCAGTGACCCAAGATTTGGCTAGGTGTTCCTTTTATTTTTATTGAATTAATTGGAGGGGTGACATTGGTTAATAAAACCATACAGGTTTCAAGTGTATGACTCCATAACACATCGTCTGCATGCTGCATCACGCACCAACCACTCAAAGTCAAGTCCTTTCCACCCCATTTATCTCCCATTTTTCCCTTTTCCACCTCTCCCCACCCCAGGCCCCTTTCCATCTGGATATTACCACAGTGTTATCTGTGTCTATATGCCACACACACACTCACACACACACACATACACACACACGACAGCTGTCAGTCTATCTCTGTATCTATGCTCTGCTTCTATTTTGTTTGTTAAATTATTTTGTTGATTAGATTCCACATATAAGTGAGATCATATGGCATCTGTCTTTCTGACTGGCTTGTTCCACTCAGCGTAATAATTTCCAGGCCCATTCAGAGGCCTTCTTACCGTCATCGCAAGTGAAGTCTTGAATGGCCACGTCCTGGATGGGGATTTCTTTGAGGAAGTATGGTTTCTGACATCGAGGGTTGCCCGTGACGATTCTTTTCTTCCTGAGCCATTCCCCCAGCCAGGCCAGGTAGCAGTTACAGTTAAAAGGGTTGGCCAGGAGGTTCCTAAGCGCCACATGCAAACAATGCAGAGTGGAGTTCAGGGTTTCACTTTCTCATTTCTCAAAACCCCAGGCCACCACCGGGCCACACTATTTCTGTCGGGAATGGTTTCTTCTCAGTTTTCCTATTCCTCTCCAGTCCCAGATTCGTACTCAATCACAACATACGAGATGCATTTCTTTTTGCTAAAATATTTATGTGTGAAATGTACAAAATAACGACACTTCCCTACAAGAATTCTTCAAATAATTTCATGCAAAAAATAAAAAGTAAAGGCAGCAAGTTAGGGCTTATGCAGGGGGTCCTGAGAGACACCTCATTTAGAGACAATTTAAACTTGTCTGGAATCTGAGTCACTGTCAGGCCTCCGTATCCTGATAACACAATAACTTAATATATAGATGAAGGCTGATTACCTTATATTATTGAGTTTAAGCTGACAACAGCTATTTCGTTAATTTGTCACTGCAAGATTTCCATCTCTTATTTGCTCTAGAGAATAGGTTTCCCATCTGAACTGACAGCTGAGTTGATTAAATGCCAGTTATAAAAATGAATTGACTTCTACAAATCTCCAGACTTTCGGCACCTCACCACTTCAGCACAAACCTATCGACAATTCTGTTATTTGCAAACATGCCATATTTAATATGCACAAATTAGTCACCCTGTGTGATATGTCACATTTCATGTGGGAAGAGGATTTAGTGCTTTGCCGGCGGATGGATGCTTTCCTCAAATTATTCCTTCAGTGACTTGCACTATGTTGAACATGGTTTTTTTTTTAATTCCTAACTACCTTTCCAGTTAGATTAGTATGCCACGATTAGCAGGATATCAAATCAGTTATAAGATTTATCATTTTTAAACCCTGCTTTTTAGGTACTGATTATACTTAAATACATTGTTTGAAGAGGGTTTGGTTTTTTTTGACATGTTCTGAGTTCTGTGTCTTCACCTACAAATAGTCTTTATTCTCAAAGTGTCTACATAAAATATGCTCTGGACAGGCTCAACCCAGTTCTCCAGTATCTCCCCAGTATCCTAGTAAATCCCATCCCATCCCCCAGGGAGCAGCTGTTCTTGTTCCGGTCATCCTGAGGCAGCCCCTCCCTGCGATGACCCTTCTGAGCATCACGTGGTGGCAACAACCCGATCCACTCTGTCTCTGTTCTGCTTACGCTGAAGGGACTCCACAGCAAGGACACTGGGGACAATCCATAACACTTTTTTCACTGACAGCACATTCCAGTTGCACGACGATTAAAATGTATCAATTACTAAGCCGCAGGACCTTATTATAAAAAAGAACTGACTAAAAAAATACTATGATCTTTGTTTAACTTTAATATAAGATAGTAGGTAATCATTTTTGGAAACGTTAAAGTAATTTAACATGAACAGATTTGTCTTCTAAAAAATACCTAAGTCCTTGATCACATTTTTATGAAATGCCTAATAATGCATTAAAATGCTATTGATGAAAGTAATAAATGTGATACAGTGGCTCAAGTAATACACAAATGGAGACTGATTTTCATACTCACAGAGTCGATAAAGAATGGAGGGTGTCGAAGGCCCCTGGTGCAACTGTAGTAATTTGATTATCATATAAAGAAAGCAGACGCACAGAACTCAGTCCTATGAAGCTGTCATTCCCTACACAGCTTATTCGATTACTTCTCAACATCCTGAGGGGAAAAAAGAGAACATTGTTATGGAGATAAAGCATCAGGCAATCCATTGTGCCTATCTGCGGACCCAAATAATTCCTCTCTGCAAATTTGTAGCATTCATTACTGTTTTCTGAGTGTTTTTAGACAGGAGGAAACACTGTGGCTATGTACTGAGAACTTTCTGCAAAAGTAAAATGCTTTGAGTTGCCAGTGATTGCTCTCAGTTACAAAAAGCCAGGAGAGCCTAGCCCGTGGATTTCCAACCCCATCAGATGAGGGCAGAATGCTTCCCTTTGATGTTCTCATTTTGTTTGCATGATTACATAATGCCCTAGTTCACCTACAGCTTTCTAAGCCCTTGCAGTCCTGCGATTAGTGTATTCACTGCAGTGTTGCATGTGAGGGTGAACGGAAGGGAGGCAGAAAAGAATCAATAACCCCAGCAGATGAACAACGAAGGGCATCTCAGGGACTTACACGCCAAGTCAATGTCAGCATCTGCTATGGGAGTCAAAGTTGACCTCCCACAGAGCCTGCGCAAATTATTTTATTTATGAAAATCGTTTCACTGTTTTAAGTTCAGAATGTAAAAAGAAAGCCATAGTTAAAGATCTCAGTTGACAACAGGGAGGCTAAAATGGGGCTTCTCTTTAAAAAAATTCTGACTATCTTTTTTTTTTTCTTTTTTCTTTTGTCATCATTGCCATTCATACAATTAACAGTAGTCATTTTGGCAACACTGCCGTAGTTTCGGTTCAGTTCTTGATGCTTGTCTAAACTCTTTATTTGTAGGGCTTAGAAAAAGTAACAAAAGGTTCTAGAAATCTCAGTCAAAATAAATAGCTGCCATAAATCTCACTCAGATTTGTTAAAATTTTAATTTCTTTTCCTGAATTTTGCTAAACGTGAGTTGATCACCCTATTCGAAGATTGCAGGATGTAAGAGAGAAGCACAATACATCAACCACAAAGTGTTCCTTTAAACCTCTAGGCTGCCCTCTAGTAAATAAGAAATATCAACCTCTGCCTCCTGCTAGGTCACAGATGAGAAGAAAGGGTGGTGTCACCTGAGACATCATTTTATGCCGTGGGACAAACGTGCAACAAAAAAGGACTCCTCTCAGAAGTAGCCTTTGCCTTACATAATCAAAAGCACTTGGTCTTAATTTTGTTGGAGTCACAGATCCCTGGAGAAGTTAGAGAAAGCAAAGCTTTCTGTCACCACAAAAACCTGGAAGCCTACATATGGACCCCATGTCACCTGCGATCTGGGATGAAGTTTAGGGACACCTGGGGTGTCCTGTCAAGATCTTCAGAGCTCCAAGCCGGACGTTCCCATGCAGAGGACTACATATGTCTGGATAAAGCTACTTCAGGCCTTTGACTACCCGAGCTTGGCTCTAAATGCTCTCCTTATCCTTGTTCCCATAACAGGGGGATTAAGCAGAGAGCCAGCTGGGTGTCTGCCTCAGGTACCAAAACATAAGAGGCACAGAAACATTGCTAGAGATATAATAAAGGGGAAAAATGAATTTAGAGAACCCATCTCAGGCAGAGTCCCATGAATGAAACTAGTCAGAAGAAATACTTGGTTAAACCCTGTGGGATGGCGCTGGAAAAGGAGCTGCGTCCCGCTAAATTTCACACGTGGAAGCCCTAACCTCCGATGAGACTGCATTGGAGACTGGGCATTTAGGGAAGTAATCAAGGTGCAAGGAAGGCTTACAGGTGGGGCCCTAATGTGACAGGAATGGTGTCCTTATAAGAAGAGAAAGGGACACCAGAGTTCTTTCTCCCCACACATGGAGGTAAGTTCAGTAAAGATGGCATGAAAAGATGGCAAGCTAAAGCCCAAGAAAAGAGCCCTCAGCAGAAACCAACCCTCTCAGCACCTTGATCTTGGACTGACAGGCTCCAGAACTGTGAGAAGACACATCCCTGCTAAGTCATCCTGTCCGTGGTTTCCCCTTATGGCAGCCCAAGGCAGACGAATGCAGTTGAAGTTACAGGTTCCCCACTAGCTGCCCCTCCCACTGCCCAGTCAAGGAGAAACTTCCAGTAACAAGTAGTCCCTCCACTGTTGCCTAAGCAGGAAGGATTCTGCTTGTCTCAGTTACTTTTGCTGAGTTACCTGAGAGAGCTTGGGGGTGGGGAGCGAGGGTGGGAGTAGATGCAGCCAGTCACCTGCAGTGTAACTTCTCTGCCTTCCTTCTACACACTCATGATCTCCTCTACAAAAGTCTGAAGGAATATTTGCATACCACGTTGAAGTGGCTCCAAATTGCACACGAGAAGGGTCCTCCTGGACCAGTTCCAGGCCACTCCTCTGGGAACACATGTGTATTTTCCCGGGCAGAGGTTTTACAGCGGGATTTAATTTTGGGGTGCTAGTCACGCCCCCACCCTGCCTGGAGGAATGCTCATTCCCTGATAAAGGGCAGGCCAGGGACTCCCCGGCTTTCGGTCCCCTGGCTGAGGCTGAGGGAGAGGATGAGGGTTTCGGGGACAGTGGACAGTGGGGCAGGGCTCTCTCCAATGCAGTTGCTGAGGGCTGCTGCTTGGAGACGGTTTTCCTTTGTGTCTTCCAAAGGCTCTGGAGTTCACTTTGTGCCTCTTCTGAGTTTCAGGCCACCGCTTTTGTCAAACATAATTATATACTTTGGAGATAATGAACAGGACATACGTGCTCTGTAGGAAACTCAAATAACTCAGACCATTGTCCTTACTACTAGTCACTCCCATCCCATCCCCTTTGGCCAACGACCTTCTGGAAACATATAGAATTTATATTTTCCTGACCTCACAACCCTTAAGCAAGGAAGCAGACATCCTCTTAGCATCCTTGCTTCGAAGTTCATAGTAAAGTTTCCAACACCGATCGGCCTCTTTTGTACTAAGACCTTGCAGGTGCAGACAAAGGTGTTCTCCAGGGAAGCGGCCATCCTGCCACAGGGCTTGGAGTGGACTCTGAAGCTAGTTACATGGGGCCAGGACAGAGTTTTAGATGGAGGTGTTTGAGGAAAAGGAAGAGGAAGGATCATGCTGAGGTGGATCAGAGGAGCCAAATCTCTACAAGCAGTGGATTGAATGTGATCTGTTATTTTTGTTGTTGTGGAGTTGCAGCAAGGAAAGACCCGTTTGCTCTATTGCAAGCAACATGCTGAAGTCAGCAGTATTAGAGAAAGAGACTGCATCCAGGGTGTGTGTGTTTAAGAGAGAGAGAGAGAGAGAGACAGAGATGGCTGGTGGTTGGCGGGGGTGGGCGATGAGGAAGATTAGAATCTCCAACCCCTCTCCAGGATTATAACCGCCAGTGAAGTGCAATCCTGTAGTAGAAGAACCACAATGTGCATTATAATACTTACAAAGTTTTGAGACTTTCCAACCCCTTGAACATCTTATGCTGCACATTTTCCAAGCGATTACTCGTGAGCAGTATTTCATTCACACCAGAGGCTCCTTCGAATGCTCCCTCTTCAATATCTGTGATCTTATTGTTGCTAAAGTTTCTAAACAAAAATTGTTGAAACACAGATTTTAAATGATTTCTTCCTAACCGTGAGGACACGGAGCTGTGTTTGATCCATTTCCTCTACGGGACACCCTCCCACAGTTGCCAAGCCCCTCTCTGCCCAGCATTTCCAGGGCTCGGAAGAGACACCACTTTCTGATTTCATCAAGTTGAAGTGATGGTAATACTAAGTAAGGGTATGTCCACAGTGAAAAATACCAGGCCCATCATTGTCAAAATAATCTGAATGGGGCCCCAGGAGTATAAAGTTCTTGAGAGCAGGTATTGAGTTGCGTCAGTCTTTGTTTGCCACAAAACTTAATAAGCAAGTTTTGAAAGAAATGCTGCTGATTAAAAGGGTTGAATGAATTAATGATTAAAAGAAGGCAATTGGGTAGAGAGAAGAATGAACTAAAGTGTGTGAGCATTTAGACAGCATCAGAAATAATCTGATTATGAGTTTGTCCCCAGTGAGATTTACGTAGCAATGTGCCAAAATCACCAACTTGATGATCTGTATTTTGTTTCTCACTGCCATTCCAAGACTAGGAGCATCATTTTATTCCTCTCAGAGCACTGCGCATAATAGCTGCTCAATAAATATGTATTCAATTGAAAGGCATCTTATAGCTAAGAAGAAAGAGTAGTTTGTATTACAGAAAAAGAAGGACAATGAAGCAAGTAGAAACTCTTTAGGAGATACTATGTAATATGGAGGTCAAGTGATCAGAAGTAGTTCAAGTCTTCTCTGCCTCTTACAGTCTATGACCGTGGGCCAGGTACATATAGAAAAGCACAGATATCACAGAAAAATGCCCCTTTCCTCCTCCTGCTGTTTCCTCATACACGGAGGGTGCTCCCTTGGCCTTACACTCTTGGCCTTTGTTCTGCCTCACCCGCCCCGCTGCCTCTTCCCTGCACAGTGGGGTGAAGTACTGTCTCAAGTGTTGCTGAAACTGCTGAGCTTACAAAATTATTTTGAAATATGAGTTGTGAATGTGTAGTAACACAGTTGAGCTATCAAGCCAGTTTAGCAATCATTAATTTTGACTATCTCCTAATGAAAGTTTAATGAAGCAAAAAGTCAAATAGTTGACATGAATGTGCTGAAAGAGAAATAACAGCTTGGTTTGTGGGATAGTAAAGGGAGTTACAAGGCATTACTGAACCCATCTCCTAAAGTGCTGAGATGCTGGGTTCCCGCTGTGGCTGCACATCGGGCCCGCTGTCTGAGGCACAGTGAGATGCCAGCGCCCGGCTATGGAAATGAGGTTGGCATCACTAGAACACACAGAAAAGACCCAATTGCTCAGGTTCCTCTCAGAGATGACCCTAAATCAGGCCACAGGTAGTCAGTCACTCTATGGAAATTTCTCGGGACCTTTTATGTTTTCCAGTTTCCAAATACATCTAAGTCAAACGGCAAAGGGATGGGAAAACCATGACGGAAAACCACGACAGAAATTTACAAAGATGGCTAATGCACGGCTTACATTTTGCGCAACTGAGGAAGTTTCTTGAAGATTCCCGTAGCTTCCAACACAGTGAATTCATTATTATTGAGACGTCTAGGAAAAAGAAACAGAAACGTTTCTTTTCTGAGCCAGGAAGGGATATGATTTTATTTCTCATACAGAATGATAACATCATTTGGTGATTGTCCTAAAGCAAGCTATAGGACACACCTCACAGAAGATCCAGGGAAAACACAGCTGCCCCTCAATTTGCACAGGGGATTACTTCCAGGGCCCTCCTTGGATGCCCAAATCCATGGATGCTCAACTGCATTTTACAAAATGATGCAGAGTTCGCACATAACCTACACACATCTTCCCGTACGCTTTAAATCATCTCTAGATTAGTTATAATACCCAATGCAATGTAGATGCTATGTAAATAGATGTTATATTCTATTTTTTAGAAAATAATGCCTAGAAAAATGTCTGCTCACCTTTCATGTTCAGTACAGGGCCACCATCATAGGCCTAACTACATAGCACGTGTCGGCAACAAGGTGACTTAAAAAATATTTTCTGTACAAGTTTGTTTAAATTTGCAGATGGAGACCCCGGGAATGTGAAGGGACAAACGTACTGAGCATTTTTCCATTTCACTCAAATTGTCATGATCAAAATAAAATATATCGGAAGCGCATAGTAAAGAAACACAATAATCGAAAATCAAAACAAGCCCTCATTTGGTAATCACAAACTTCATTTCTTGCTATTGCCTTTCTCCAAGACAGCGTTTTAGGCCACTTTTTCTAATTACATGCCCCCTAATTTTTTTTATTACTGGCTTTACTGATAGACAATTTATATGTCACAAAGTTCACTTTTTAAAGTATATAATTCAGTGGGTTTTAGCACATTCATAAAATTGTGCAACCATGTTTGCTACCAAATTCTAGGCTATATCTATCACCCCCAAAAGAAATCCCATGCCCATTAGCAGTCACTGTCAATTTGAGCCCCCATTACCTCTGTTCCTGGCCACCACTAATTTACTTTCTGTGCCTATAAATTTTCCTGTTCTGGACATTCCTTATAAATGGAATTGAACTAGATGTAGCCTTCTGTGGCTAGCTTTTTTCACTTTGCATATTATCTCCAAGGTTCATGCCTTTTGAGCACACGTCAGTGCTTCATTCTTTTACTGGCCAGTACTCCACTGATGAAGATCTGGGCTGCTTTCTACTTTTGGGTTATGATGGATGGTGCTGCTAGGATATCAGCGTACAAGACTTTCTGTGGACATGTGCTTTCAATTCCTTTGGATACACACATATGTGTGAAATTGCTGGGTCACGCGGTAAATTGACGTTTAACTTTTTGAGAAACGGCCACTCTTTTGCAAAGGGGCTACATTATTTTACAGTCCTGGCAGCAATGTGGGAAGGGTCCAACTTCTCTCACCTGTTACTGTCTTTGTTTGGATTTTTTGTTTGTTTGTTTAATGGCCATTCTAGCAGGTGTGCACCCTTAGCGCATTCTGGCTTTGATTTCTGTTTCCCGGATGCCTAATGATACTGAGAATTTTTCCTGTGCTTATTGGCCATTTGTGTATCTGAGGAAATGTTCATACATATACACTGACCACTGTTTAACTGGATAATGTACATGTCTATTTTTTACTTTGTTGTTGAATTGTAAGAATGCTTTATTTATTCATTCTGGTTATAATGAATAACCATATATATGGTTTGAAAATATTTTCTACCAAGTGCCAATTTTTAAATGTCTAATTGTAGAAAATCCTTAATTTCTTAAAATACAAATATCACCTCTGCTGAAAAGTAAATTAGATGCTAGTTTCTAATATTCTTGATTAGACAACTAAGCATACTTCACATATTTGTTATGCTGGAAGATATGATTTGAATTATCATTTTAGTATTGTTGGAAAGAAGCACAGCTCCCTACTTGAGCACAAAAAAATATAGTTTGGGGCTTTAATTGCATGGTCTCTAGACATTTCTAAAAGTCCTGTCACTACAAAATAGCTTTATTAACTAATAGGAATAAGAAAACATCACCATAATCACAGATAGTTAGTTTCTGTCATCTCTTTGAAAGCATTACATTATTTTTAATTATTCAATCCCTTAAAATTCATTAAGTCACAGGCATGAGTTTAGGTGCAGTGGGAAATGAACTATAACGCACGATCCCTGTCATCAAGGGGCTAAAATCCAGTCAGGATTGTACATGCACAGAAAGACGGCCAACTCTGTGAAGTGGATAATGACAAATACCAGATGGTACTAGACATAAGTGTGGCTAAAATGTTCAGAAAATGATGAGATTTCTGGTTTTTTCTTGGATTTTAGAACACTAACATTAAATGTCTCCCTTCTATAAATAAAGTCAGCAAAGGCAAACCGTGCATGGACATGACACCTATGAACGACTCCGACATGTGCCAGGCCCTTTGTCAGTCACGGTTATAAATCCACATCTGATCACACCCTGCCTCTCTGCTCTTCCCGGTATGCTAGCCTCTGTGCTTTAGTACGTGATAGTCCTTCCAGCCACGAGGCAGTGGGGGGTAGTACAGCAGATATAAAAGACTCTTTTTGAATTCACAATGAACAGAGATTCAAAATGGTGATTCTCAAACTACTTTATTTGGTTGCCATAAAGACTAAGTGTGTTAAAATTCTGTTGATTGTTCAGAAATGGGTTTGGCAAATATCACGCTCAAGAAACAAATATCACGTGAATGTTATTACTCATAGCATGACTAACTAAATTTCTGTAATTGTATCTTGGGCCAGAAAGATGAAGTAAGATAGCCTTTAAAATGTTCTTGTGCACAGAACAGTTATATCAATGTGTATTTACTAAGATTAATGTAATAATTCAGAATAAAAGAGCAAGACCGAAATTTCAATGCTTCTATGCTCCTGTCTCCTCCCTCCCACCCTGGGTTCTGTAGGATGAGAAACTTACAGTTCTGCAGTGTACTGAGGAATGTGGTCTGGGATTTTGGTGAGTTTCTGATTGGAGCAGTCGACTGTGGTTCCTTCACAGCGACACTTTTCAGGGCAAGCCAGATCTGCAAAGCAGTCCCCGCTTAATTTTGATCGATAATCTTCTGTACCTATTGAGGATTCAAGCCAAGAAAAATAAAACAGAAAGATACTGAGTCTAAAGGTTAGAATGTCTGTTAATTTGTAGGAAGAAAAAAAGGAAGATAACTCTAGATTATGCAGCAGGGAGACAACTTAGGGGAATTTGGTCAATGGATGTCAGGAGAGGGTTAAAACAAGGGCTTGGAATTTGCTGGAAAAAAAAGAGTAACTAGATTCACAGGACAGGAAAACATTAAAAGAGATGAGCTTTTCACAGCTGTACTTTCTGCTGATCCAGTTATGAGCCATTCTAAGCCTATTTGACAGCGAATCACACAATGGCTATTAATTGTTAAAAAGATTATTTTTTTTTCTCTGAGTCAAGAATTTAAAATGTATCCAGTCATAAACATATCCCTATATATCATTTAAAATTAGGGCTTTCAAGGCAAATAGATGTACTCAGGTTTTTTAATGGTCTATGGTCTTTTATTATTCTCCCCCTCTCACATAATCTCCAGAAATGCCTAAAAAGCCCTCTTTTTTTTTCTTTGGATTTGATAAAGAGAGACCAGTACGTCCTGATTTAAGCCTCAGCAGCTTGCCATGCTGTAGAAAGCTGCGTGACGTTCCATGGTGCTTGACGCAACCATGTTTTACTCATACCTGGCAACCACATGGTTAGATCAAGCACAACAGAAAATCTCGCTACATAATCACTACACCATCCACTAGGCCAAGGGGAAGACGGAGAGGAAGGATGAGGGGAAGCAGGAGGAAAGCTAAGACGTTCTGGAAACGTAATACTGTTTACATGACATGCATTCTTCCCGCAGAATGTTTTGGACCATAGTAAGAGTATTACTACCGAAGATTTCCTGGAAACACAAAGAAGGGGCTATACGGAAAGGTGCGTCCGCTGTTCCTCAGAACCGCAGAATGGAAACAGCAGCTTTTCAGGAACAACCTCCAGGAAGAAGTTGGACGTAAGCTACAAGGACAACAGAGAGGCTCAAAAGATCTGTGGTTTCTTCTTGGGAGAAAAAAAAAAAAAAGAAAGGCGCAAAAGACGGAGACTAGAAGAAGGTAGGTACAACCAGGATGGAAAAGGGGGGACATTATGTTTCAGATCAGACACTTTACTTACAGCCCATATGGTGAACTCCTGTAAAAGTAAAGATCACCAAGAAGGAAAGAAAGACAGCAATCCCGATTAAGATTAATAGGCATGTATAGATATAAAACTAAAGGTCTCTTTCTTCTTTCCCTGCTGTGGCAATTACTGGGCAATGGTATGGAAGGCTAGGAATTGTCATGCTTTGTAAACTTTTATAATAATTTTTTGAAGTGTAGTGTTCTTATAGGAAAAGCAATGGCATCCAAGATGCACAGCACAAATTAAGTTCTGGTCAATTCCTTTAAAAGATGAACTCTCCGCAAGGTGGATTTTCTTTTGAGTTCTCACTATGATATCTAGAATGCATGATGGAATGGTGGTAGGCAAATGAACATGTAAAATTAAGTGAAAAATTAGTCGTGTAGATCTTCAAGGATTATCATTAGCACATTTGGACTAATCCTTAGGTTATGGCTCACATGCTTTTTAATCACCTTTCCAATTTACGAATAATGCCACTCAGTTAAAATGGAATCAGATAAAAAGCTTGCAAAGCTAACGTAACAGTTTCATTACACTTGGAAATTAATGCCGTGGCATTTATTGAAAATCTTTTATATTGTGGTTTAAGCTTTTGTGTTAAAATTGAAATGAGAAAATACTGGGAACTAAGTCTAAGTAACAGGTACACTAGGTATCTTACACTTAGAGTAATTCACCTCCTACACAATGACAATGACTCATTATATGGTGACTCTTCAGATATGCTCAAATTTCATTAAAATCTGGAAGAAAAGGGACAGTAAGGCCAAAGATTCTTCTGAATCCTCACTTCTACAATTATTGTCTTAAATAGCGTAAACTGAATGACCATAAACTGACAAGTAAGCCATGAGATCTGATGTAAAAGGTATTTTCTTTTTTTTAATAATTAATTTTATTTAGTTATTTTTCAAGTACAGTTTTTTGTAAAAGGTATTTTCTAAAACCTATTTTGGCTGCTGTCAAGAAGTGGGTAAAAATGCAGTCAAATTTATGACAACAAATTGACTTTTGTTCTTTATTTGGTGAATCAAAAATATTAATTTCTAAATTATTAATGAATTATGCTTAAAATAATGTGTTATGTAATAAAAAACTATTTAAAATAATATATTTAATGTTATGAAATAATGAAGTATATTTTAATGTAATAGATTGAATAATTCACTTACAATTATATTAACTGTTATAATTTGGGAGTTTAAGTAATACTGTTTTATCCTATAAGTGTTTTGGTACTTAGAACAGATATTTTGCTGGGTAAATAATAGCTATCAGATATCTTTCTACCTAATAATTGGGTAAAAATAAGGTAAACCAATCAACCTCTGTTCAACATGTTACTTTTTTTGACATGCTGATTCTTACGCTGCCAGTGTAATAAGTAAAAAATTATTGATCACTCAAGCTCAAAATAGGTAATAAAACAAAACCTGTTAAATGCATAACATTATTCAAATCATAACTCAAGGATGGCAAGCAACACCTGTCTCCTTAAAAAGGAGACCAGACCCAGAGTTCTTTAAAAAATAGGTATGATTTTATACACTAACTCTACAGAAAGTATCTTTATTTATAAATGTTAAAATACATCAGAGCCTAGGATATACCAGGACATGGTAAATGTGGCTGATCAATCACTACTCAACATATATAATTTTTAATATAATGGTTTAAAACAAACAAGTCAAGAGGCATTTTACACAATTGGCAAGCAAGAAAAGAATAGATAAAGAAACATGCTTCAAAGAGCTAGTTCTGGAATCTTCAGCTTTGATAGTGTTAAGAGTGTAGTGCTAAAACATGTCCCCTACTTCTCTAAGAACTATTCATTCACTGGCCTAAATTATTCAAGCACCTAGTGCTCATGAACTTCTGATGCTTTGCGGGTTGATGTCAATGTTGTGTTTACGGAGCTGCACTCTGGCTCCCAGAGGTCAGGTATGTTGAGTCACAGAGAAAGTACCACTGCATGTAAATCAACAGGAAGCTGCTGCTTTTGTATAAAAAGTAAAGCAACAGTAAGCAAAGTCAAGAGAAAATTAAGGTACACTCTTTTCACGTAAATATAAAGACAATAAAAATAAATAAATCCCATGACTGAAAATCACAACTGTGTGTTTGTAGCTGATTTCATGAAGAACTAGCTCTTTGACAGCAGAAAGTTCTCTGTCTTTAAAACCAGCTCGTAAGCAACGTTTTAAAAACAGGTCAAAAGATCAGATATATAATGTAAGGAGAGAAAATGATTTAAGTAGAAAGCCATAGGTTCAAACATCTTAGCTCTACTGTGAGAAATTTTAGACAATGCGCCAAAGAGAGAGAGGAGAAATAAAAGGTGGGAGTTTAATAATATATATATATATATTTAACATTAGAAGCTGCATGCAAAGGTCAGGTGTTCAGGAAACAGCTCTAAGTGATCTATGCAGAAGTCATCTATCTACACAGTACCCACTGTACTTTCAGAAGCATGCATATCAAAGTTTTAGAAGCTATATTTTATAAGGTGAAGAAAGGGTATCTGTAGTTAGTCCTACTACCGAGCAAACCTACCTGGAATGAAATACTGTTCTTTAGCTAAATAAAAAAAGAGAAAAAATAGAATATGCACCTGAATGTCAGCAAGCAGAGATATGAGTTATATTAGATTAAGAATGGACTAAAGTTACCACAGATAATTAAGTGATAATGCATATTTTCAGCAGGGGCTGAAGTATAATAATGTAAAGTGAGTAGTAAACACATCTAGAACCAAGGATGATACCCAGCTTTGTCTTGATACTAGCTTTTTAGTCTGAATTAATTGCCGAATGAGAGACCGGCTTGAGATAGTTAGGTAGCATACTACTTAAACCCTACAGAATGTATTTTATCATAAGAAAATAGAAAAGATTAGACCAAAGCAAATTGTAAGTTTCAATGAAGTAAGCTTTCTATTTAAAATTAATACATCTATGGTTAGTTTTCTATAAATAAATGTAATATTCCCAACATGTTAAAAGGTGGCCTTTTGGGGGGAAAATGTAGTCTCACAGTCCTATTCAAAAAAGAGAATGCAAAAATGAGGAAAAAGTATTCAGTAAGGGATCAGGAGATTTTCCCCCCTACTTCTCAGCCTGAGCAAATCACGTAACCAAGTCTCAGTTCATTTCCTGAAGCAATGAAAACATGATTAATTACCTTAAGTTTCTCAATGGAGAATGATATCACAAACATGAGACTTAACAGGCTTAAAAGGCACTGTGAGTTAACTAAAAGGCCCCTGTTAGGTTGGCACCCTGGGAATACAGTGTGAGGCAACCATGCATCATTTTTTTCTTGGCCAGTAGCCTATTTCTTCTGCTTCATATAGTGTAAAAAAATGTTACCCATAGGAGGCCTATATGAATTGTGCTTATGGTCCTCTTTATTTTTTCTTTAGGTATAGAAGACAAAGAAATATGGTTGCATAATGGTTGGTAGTTCAGGCAAAGGCCAACAGTCTCTAGGTGTCCCATACTCGCTGTTTTTGGTAACACAGGGGAAATGCCATGTGAGGTACACAATTACCTGAACAACGGAACTTCTTGCTTTTGATCTGTCCAATTCTTTTGTTTGCCAGACGCCGGGGGCTGGTGCAGCGGGCACCACTGGTCTCGATGGGGTTGGTGTGGAGATAATCAGCCAGCCACTTGAGATGGCAGTCACAAATAAAGGGGTTCTGGGCCAAATGCCTTTCAGGAACACATACAGAACAACTTTTTTTATACAGGACTTGCAAGGAACTCAACTCTCAAGTTCAGAGTGAAAACAGTGGTCATCAAATGTGATCCAAAGCACATATACGTACATGGTCTGAATGGCCCGTAGAGGTGAGAAGGTCCCCTTCGCGATGGTCTGAAGCTTGTTGTCGTATAAGGAGAGAAGGTTCAAGTTGTGCAGATCCTGGAAGGCATCTACCCGAAGGCAGTTGATCTTGTTGGCATTCAATAACCTGTTTGGTCAAAGAGTTGAAGAATTAAAGTGTGGCATCTCCTGACTTGCCTTTGAAATTGTGTCCTTGAGAAAACCCAACCAAGAAACATGTTTCTTCTATCCTCAACACTGACATGTGTACTGTCATAATTCAGGCGTCCCCGGCTGCAGATTTGGGGTTCTACCAGATAAAGCAAGGTGCATGTAGTCTGAGGAATGCCTAAAGCTAGTGGTGTTTATGCATTTATTTAATAAAATAAGTAAATTCTCTAGAAGGCATAGAGGTAGTACAGTAGGCAAGAGTGGGTGAGAGCCAGCCTCTGCTGTCAAGGATGAAATAAAAGGGAAAAAATGGTCCATGAAACCTTAGTCCCTTGAACTATTCCATGAAAGAGATGTGCAGTCTGTCCCCAAAGCAGAAGACAGTGCCCATCTTCTAAAACACAGACCAATCACATCGCCCCTCTCTCCAAACCCTGCAACAACTCCCACTTCACTCTGAGCAAAGTCAAAGTCCTATTGACACCAGCCAACACCACCCAGTAAGATCTTTAGTGCCCCCTTCTGAACTCTGCAGCCTCTAAGTTCTCTCCTCCAGGCTGTTTCCGCTCCAGCCACAGAGGCCTCCTTGCCACACTCTCTTCACTGTTTGGAATGTTCTCCCAGATGTCTGCCTGGTTAACTACCTTGCTTCTCTGAGTCTGTTCAGATGTTGCCATTTCAGTTCAGCCTACCCTAACCACTCTCTTCCATCCTGACAGCCCGTTTGCCCCTCCCCAAGCCCTAGCACTCTCAATGAATTTATGTTGATCTACCTTTGCTATTTCATTAAGTACAACTTTCCATCTCGTAGATGCGAGTTACTTATTTATTCTATTCAAGAGCTGACTGTCATTTGCATGTCCCTCTTCCCAAGGGTATAAGCTCTGGACAGCAGGGATATTTGTCTATGTTGTTCCCTGATATTTCCCAGGTGCCTAGCATGTGCTAGGTGCTCAATAAACACTTGCTGTTAAACAAAGACAGGATAGTTCTGTTGGAAAAGGATATGGTACGTGACCATATTAAAGGCCCACATTTTGCATAATAACTGTATAAATACCTGTTTAACGTGGTTTAACACAACAGGCCACACATTCATTTTTTTTCTTACATGTGAATCAATATTCTACATTAATATTTTGTGGAACTGTGGCTTGCAGATCCTACACTAGCAAACATCGTCCTCACAGGTGACTCGGGATTGTGTCCGAGCTTTATTCCTTTGGACTCACCTTTGGGAACATACGTGGCCAAAGTTCCACTTTTCTCAAACCTCCAGCCTATCAAGGCCTCACAGAAAGGCTATCTTTTCTATAACATGTCTTCTGCCCAACTAAACTATTCTTCCCCTAGGTTCCAAAGGAAGTTATTCAGTGTTGCTTAGTCTTTTTTTAATCAGTCAACAAAGTATTTATTGAATTTATTGCCTTAGCTGTTGTGAGTTGGTAATAATGAGCGTTGGGGGAAACTGAATTCAATAATTCAGAAAATGCACCTGGCGCAGAGAAGATGCTCAGTAGGTGTTCTTATTTGCCTTCCATTTCTCTCGTGTGAAAGCAGCGTTGGTCTCTTAGAATTTGAGGCCACTTGAAGGAGTTCAGGGACTGGTACGGGGATTCGGTGAATGAGGAAGCAGCATACCAGGTAGATCCCACATGAAATCCATCTCACTCCATGCTGATCAGAAGCACAGGCTCTTGAGAGGCCTGACGAGCCCCAGAGTCCTCGTATCTACTCCAAGTGAGACTGTTCAGGCACCAGAGAGACCTAGACTTATCGCCTAGTTCATGGAGGCCCATGTTGCCCAAACAGTTTAGTCCTCTGTGGGCAGGAAATTTCCTTGATATGTCTTTTTCCCTCTCAACATGTTGCTCAGTGCTTTGATACTTAGGACCTTAACAACTATTTCATAGCTAAAAAATACATGTGCGCTATGCAGTTTGAGTCTGTACGCCACATTATCTGACACTCGGAAAAGTTTTCCCTTTGGCTTCAAGAATCTCTAATTAACATGAAGCATTTCTGTTTTACTAGCTGGCTTTTTCAGGTGTTCCTCGCATGCGCGAAGCTATGACTTCCTCGTGGTGGTTTTCTTTGCTGCACTCTTTTCTTTTTATTCCCTTTCAGGAGCCAAAGTGTTGGCCTTCTCTGTGTTCTACACAATACTTTCCTAAAAGCTCAGAGGCCTGGCTTGAGGTTGGCCTGATTAATCCCACTTCTCTATAACACAAGTTCCACGGACCTTATTCTCTAATTCATCAGCCACCCACAGGAAGCAGGTAGAGCAGAGAACATTAAGGACAAGAAAACCAGTGGGGGCCCTGGAGGACAACTGAAGAAGGTGCTTTGCTGAGCATTTTGTACTTTAAATGTGTGTGGTCCCAAAATCAGGTGGAAAAAAGCATTGGACACTAATTTATTTAGTTCCATTTACCTACTTCTTCCCCCCCAAATACTAAATTTATTCAAGCAGATCTAAGATGCTTAACCAAGTTCTCAGTAAGCTGTAAAGAGACAATCATGTCTCTTTACAGGCCTGAGCTTAAGATAGGGCCTTAGTACAGTGATAAAACACTAGGCTGAGGGAATCTACAGAGAAGCATTGCATACAAGATCAGAAATGATGATTGCTAACTCTACTGCAAGGGTTAGCAGATCATTAGAACCTCAAGAAAGTCATTAGGTGACAAAGATCAGCAACTGTCCTGGCTCCTTGGTTTGTTGGAGACAGTGAATGGAGAAGAAATGGACAGCAGCTGGCACAGGGAGGGTAAATGCTGCCTGGTTAACAACTTGCTTCATTTGTGTGGGTGTGCATGTAAAAGCTGGGCATGATATAAAGTGTGTTCCTAGATAGTGATGGAGAATTTAAAACATGAATAATAGAATATACTATGAACACACATTTATCAAGTAAGACAAAATATCTATATTTGGGAAGTTTGTGGAATTAGGAATAATTTTTTTTTACCAAATAAATGATATAAACATCCACACCAAAAACAAGTGCATATACTTGAAAGAAAAAATAACATTCTAAATTTAAAAAATTTATATTAATGATTTTTCTATTAAAATTATTTTTTCAATTACAGTTTATACTCAGTATAATTTTGTATTACTTTTGGGTTTACAGCATAGTTGTTAAAGACAATCATATATTTTATAAAGTGATACCTGATATTTCCAGTACCCACCTGGCACAGTACATAGTTATGACAATATTAGTGACTATATTCCCTGTGCTGTACTCGCATCCCAGGACTGTTCTGTAACTACCAGTCTGTACTTCTCAATCCTTTCACCTTTTTTATCCAGTCCCACATGCCCCCTTCCCCTCTGACATCCATCAGTCTGTTCTCTGTATCTATGAGTCTGTTTTTGTTTTGTTTATTCATTTATATTATTCTTCGGATTCTACATACAAGTGAAATGAGACATTAAAATTTTTTAAAGCAGGCTGACTATGAACCAGTAGAGAGAAGTAATTATGTCTCCCTTGGCATCCTCAGCAGCGAGGCCAGTACATGCTCTACATGAAGTACCCTATATGTGTTTGGTGATTTGGACCAAATCTGAAGATCCAACAATCGCAGTCTTAATACTAGCATATTTTTTCCAATTTCTTTTCCACGTAAGCATTCATTAAAACACCTGGGGTCAAGTCTTAGTGGTATAACTATGTATACTAAATAGTTCTTTTCATGAAAAGGAGAAGTAGCTATTGTCTAAGCAGAGTGGTCTTTAAAGATATAATCCAGGGATTTGCAGATAAACCTCTCACTGAAGATTAGTTTGAGTGCTGCTGCTGTGTTCTGGCCTCAGGTACACCACCTTTATGTTGGGAGGTGTTACTCCAGAACTGTCACTCTTGCAGCTTCTTTGCACAAAGGCAGATACACACATAGTGCCATGTCTCTTTCCTTCCCAACTACTGTTAAATCAAACCAGAGAAGTTTCACAGAGGGCAGGGGTTGTAAAAGCTTTAAACAACAGGGCAGACAGGAAGCATATATATCCATGTCATTGTGGACAGAAAGGTTTTGGGACAACTTCAGAGTGTTGTGTCTTCAAATAAATAACCATCAACAATGTTAGTTCTGCTAGGCTAATCTTTTCCATTTCATTAAACTATGTCATTTTGAGTCAAACTTTTCTGAAGTCTCCATGAAAATATGAGATGGTACACTGACTAAAATATAATATTTGGTTCAATAGATCAGAAACAATCAATTACTTACAGTAGCTGTAAGGAAAATAATCCTTCAAATAAACTTTTTGGGAGTTCCGTGATTTTATTTCCATAGAGAACACTGAAAAATACATAATTTAAAAGATGAAAAAGTCAGGCACCAAACCAACATAACAAATTAGTCCAACACATGCATATTCAGGTATATTAAAGGTTGGTAAGCGCTCTACACAGACATAAACGCTTATGATAGAAAGTTTGGAGGACATGAAAAACAAGGAAAAATGAAGGAAATGAACACAGGTCATAATTCTATTGCCCTCTCATAGAACTGTTCACTGCTACATTGCTCTATTTTTTTAAACATACACACACACAGAGTTCATTTACAATTACAGCGCACTATGCAACAAAAGCAAATGCTGAATGTGGAATCCATTGCTCACCAAAGGGATGTGTTTTGGGCTTATAGTGTTGGTAAATAGTGAAAGAAATCCATCCGCCCTTTAGCTATACAATGCGTATGCTGGAGAAAGGTAAGACCTGTAGACAGTTGTCATTAGTATTAATACATGTTTCTTCCCACAGAAACATGAACAGAAATGCATCCTCATGGCACCCACTTCTGAAGAGCCACGATGTGGGAAGACCATCAGCGACTGATCCCCTCAGTACACCTGGTGCCTAGCTCAGGTTTCTGTACACAGTGATGTTCTAATTGGATTGAGAGGGAAGACTCTTTGATGAGTGAAATGAAAAATAAGTGACCAGAGGAACCAATTAAAGCATAAATTAACAAAGAAGGTAAAATAAGGGTATTTAAGCACCAAATGAATGGATATGGTTGACTCTTCATGTCAGTTATTAACAAGAGATCTGCCTCTTTTTAATGCCCCCTGCCAAAGTAGGAAACTGCAATTATGGGTAGGAAAAGATAGCAATCATATTTTTAAAATATTTTATTTATTTATTTTTAGAGAGAGGAGAAGGGAAGGAGAAAGAGTAGGAGAGAAACATCAGTGTGTGGTTGCCTCTCATGTGTCCCCTACTGGGAACCTGGCCTGCAGCCCAGGCATGTGCCCTGACTGGGAATTGAACCAGTAACCCTTTGCTTCACAGGCCCATGCTCAATCCACTGAGCTACACCAGCCAGGGCGCAATCATATTTTAAAAGCACAATTTGGCAATACATATCAAGAGTTCTAAAAAGGTTATATAAATTTTTACACAGTAGTTTCACTGAGGAGTTTAAAAAATAAATAGAGCTAAACAGTATTGTATGTATAAAATGTTAATTAGGGCATAATTTATGACAATGAAAAATTAAAATGTTCAAATCATGTCTTGAAGAATATTTAGTGACATGAAAGTATTCATGATATAATGTTTAAAAAAGCATAATATCCACATATGTAAATTTATCAATGTGATATACATTAACAAAATAAAGGATAAAAACCATATGTTCATATTAATAGATGCAGAAAAGGCATTTGACTAGGTACAGCATCAATTTATGAATACAACACTCAATAAAATAGGGACAGAATGAAAGTACCTAAATATAATAAAGGTCATATGTGACAAATCAAACCAAAAGAGGCCCCAAATAGCCAAAGCAATCTTGAGAAAAAAGAACGAAGCCAGAGGTATCATACTCCCTGACTTCAAATTATACTACAAAGTAAGAACAATCAAAACAGCATGGTGTTGGCAAAAACAAGACCCCCCCCACAAAAAAAAAGGTCAGACACATAGACCAATAGAGCCCAGAAAGAAACCCAAATGTACATGGGCATATAATTTTCAAGAAAGGAGCCAAAAATACCTAATGGAGAAAAGAAAGCCTCTTCAAATAAATGATGCTGGGAAAATTGGAAAGCCATATGCTAAGAATGAAACTAAGATGCTATTTGTCACCATACAAAAAAATAACTCAAAATAGATCAAAGACCTAAATATATAATGTGAAAGAATGAATTACATAGAACACAGATACTAAACTCATGGACTTCGTGTTAGAGACAATTTTATGAATTTGACCTTAAAGGTAAGGGAAGTAAAAGCAAAAATAAATGAATGAGACTGTATCCAACTTAAAAGTTTCTACACAAGAAAAAAAGTCAACAAAACAAAAAGACAACCAATTGAATAGGAAAAGATATTTGGATACAAAACCTCTGGTAAGGGATTTGAATCCAAAATATACAAAGAACTCATACAACTCAATAACAGCAAAACAATCCAATTAAAAATGGCTGACACTTCTGTCAAGAAGACATATAAATGGCCAATAGACACATGAAAATACGTTCAACTTTACTAGCTATCAGGGGAATGCAACTCAAAGTTACACTGAGATACTACCTCATACCTGTTAAATGATTATTATCAACAAGACAGGTAATAACAAGTGTCAGAGAGGTTGTGGAGAAAAGGGAACCCTCACTCACTGCTGGTAGGAATGTACACTGGTACATTGGTACAGCCACTATGGAAATCAGTGTGGCGGTTCCTCAAAAAATTGGGAATAGAGTTACCATATGATCCAGCAATTCCTTTCCTGTGTATCTACTAGAAAAATTTGAAAATATTTATTTGCAAAGATATATGCACTCCTATGTTCATTGCAGCATCATTCACAGTGGCCAAGTCATGGAAACAATGAGAGTGTCCTTCAAGAGATGAGTGGATAAAGAAGAGGTGGTACTTTTATACAAGGAATACCACTCAGCTAAACAAAAAGATGGAATACTGCCATTTGTGAAAACATGGATGGATCTTGAGAACATCATGCTAGGTGAAATAAACCAGAAATTGTCAAGAATCACACAATCCCACTCATAGGTGAGATATAAAACTGAAGGTAACAAATGAACAAATGACAGACAAACAACTCATAGACACATTAATAGTATAGTGGTTACAAGAGGGAAATCAGTCAGGGGGAAGATAGTAAAGAGTAAAGGGACTCAAACACATGTAGATGAAAGGAGATTTGACCTTGGGTAGTGACCACACAATGCAACATACAGGTAATGTATCAAAGAATTGTGCATTTAGATCCTATATTATTTTATTACCAATGTCAACCTAATGAATTTAATAAAATTTTTCAAAGCATAATATAAAGAACTAAATTACAACATAATTTTAATTTTGTATGTGTACATGTGTGTATGTGTGTGTACACACCCCCACTGCTCAAAAGTGGAAAATCTTATGATGGCAAGTGACTTGACATCCAGAGTGTATTTGAATTTGAGTATATTTTTCTTGTTTTTTTTTGTACATTCTCTCCAATGGACATAGATTACTTTTAAAAAGAAGAATAAGTATTTTCAAAAATAAATAAATAGATGTGATAACACATGAAGAAAAACTGAAATGAGAATCTAAATAATTAATATGTTTGGTAGGGAGCATTATATAATTTTTGGTTGAAAAGGAGGCAAATAACAATACATGAGAAATAAATAAGAGTGAGGGGAAAACTTCCTTTTTAAGATGTCAGTGAGAGGTTGGATATATTACAAAATTGAAGAAAATTCTCAAGAAAATAAATAAACCTGGGTGCTACATTGTGTAAACACACTACATTTGTATAGATTCCTGTGGTATAGGTATATAGCATAACATTGAAATGCATTTCTGTAAAATATAGATTTTTAAAAAGTAAATCAATTATCAAAGAAACAATTTTAAAAATTAAAGAAAAAAAAAGAGAAATCTGTGGTGTTGGGGTCAAGAAAGTAAGAGAACTTAGAAAGGATAAAGCAGGAATTAATATGTTTCAAGACTAAGAGTAAGAAAAGAGGAGGCTTTAGGAACAGGAATGAGCTGACCATGGCATTGGTTCAGGATATTCAACTCACTGTCATTCAGCAACAGATACTGCACACTCACTGTGTGCCAGAACATCGCTAAGTTCTAAGCTCGATGCCCAGCTACACTGAACCCAACTGTTATTTTTTGAATGTTTATCATCTGTGTGTCTCAGGCACTGAGATAAGGTCTGGCTTCAAAGAGCAATCCAGAAGAACAATGTTGAATACTGCAAGTTTTATATTTGGACCCCACTGAGAAGTAAAAAGGAAATATAATGCATATAAATAGTGGGAAAACCCATATAAGAATTTAGGGGAAAATAATTTTCGAGGTTGTTTATTTGAGACTTTTGCTTCAAAGGTAGGCTCAGCAGGAAAGGAGAACTAGCTAGGAGGTGTGTCATATTTGCACTGTGAAACTATTTTTTCCAACAAATTATTGTTTTCCATAAGATCAGGTTTAAAAAACAGATGTTTATTGCAAATGAGACAATTCGGTACATGGGATAAAAAGCAGATCACACAAGGATGAAGAAAATCCACCCACGTAGATGATTCTGGGTATATGGATTAAAAATCATGAAAATATTGTAATACAGAAATATTAAATAGGATGGAAATGAGATATCTCTAAAAAAAAAGTATAGCAATCCCAGGGCTGGGCACCTTTTCTTTACATGCAATAAGATCAACATGATAGAGAAGTTGAAGTGTCAAAAATCGAAAGACCAGGAATGAGAAGTGGGGGACAGACGTGACGCACATGCAGCATTCTACACACAGTGTTCAATTAAGATCATGGGGAACTGTTTATAGTCCTTTGGAACAACAGCGAAATCTTAAGGCCTCCTTTGTAGTTGTTCCCAGAAGAGAGGCTAGGGGTTCCAACTCTAGGACAGTAGAACACAACCTAAGATAACAGGGTACAGTCACACTGGGAGCCAGGCTTTGAATTCTCCTGCCCTGTGAGAAGCCAGAACTCCTACTAAAGATAAAAATATACAAAACTGAATCCTATTAAGATATCTATCATATAAAAAGTGTTGAGGGCAGGCTTCATTATCTAAATATATGGTAGAGAGCTATACTTATAAATTAAAAATTATGTCTATCCCCCTCAAAATTATTTATACCTCAGAATTAACACAGTAGGCAAGTTTAAAGACAGTATAGGTTGGAACATTTTCATTTTCATTGGAAACCAGTAGTAAAATGCCAGATACTGAGCAGGAGAGTTAAAAAGAGTCCAAGAAAAGGCTGTGGGAAGTGTAAACACAGCAGCCAGAATCAAAATACCAGTCTTTCACTATAGGCCTCTGTGGAATTGGGGAGCTAGTTAGTGAAGAGATGTACATAGAAAAAAATGAACTACAGTCATTGGCAAGGGGCTAATAAAAATGGGAAGAGAGCAAAAATTTATGTTGAGGATTTAGGGCATAAGAATTCTCTGGGTTAATTAAAATCCAGAAACATACAAATTGGTTAAGTATCAGAAGAATCCATCAAGGCCATATCTGTCATCTCCCAACTTCTCTTCGGCTTTAACAAAGCCAGCAGGGGAGTAATCTTATCCCCACTTTAGAGAACAAGGGAAGCGCAGGCAACTTAGTGAGACTTCTCCAACTTATTCTCTCTCTTTTGACATTTATTGATTACCTTTGAGGCACAGAGACTTGAAGGACCAGGAGTTGGTATGTTGCTCTGTCCTTTTACATGGCTGAGCGTGTCATCTATCTCCACTTTGGATAGCATTATTGTCCAGAGTACACATGGTAGCTTATGGACAGTGCGGGCAATTTATCTGAGTCTCACATTACACTGTGTTATTTTAGAGTCTGACAGCCCAACCCCCAGTACAATGCGTGACTACTAGACTTGACATTTTCTGCCAACAGTTGTAACCTTAACCTTGGACTTCCTGTGGTAAAACAAACAAACAAACAAACCCCCAAACAAACAAGCAAACAAAAAACCACAAAAAACGAACAATGAACCTGAGTAGATACTGCTGAAGGGATAGTTTTTAATTCTCTTTCTTCAAAGAAAATTGTATTTTTCTTAGTGGACCAGCCCAGCAACCTGAATACCCCTGAGCCCAGACACAGGCATCTGTCTCGTTCTTCCATTGGTATGAGCGAGTGTAAATTGTTACACGAACTCCGAGTGTTTATCTGTCTCTTGCACATGTGTATCCTGGAATGCCCACTGGTACCCACGACTTCTGAAGTTCAGAAGAGCTCCACAGTAATTTACATCAATAAGAACCCTCCTCTAAGCATCAAGTCTTCAACAATACATGCCAGCCTCCACTTTCAAACTTTAAAGTTAAAATCTGAAATAAAGGTTACTTTACTTGATGGACTTCTGAAAGTCTTTACAAGAAGGAATGACAGTGTTTATCCATTTACTTTAGAACCACTTTACATAGCTATCTCCCTGAAAGTCCTTTGACATTAAAAAGCTGTAAAGCTTTCTTATCTTCATACTATTGGAGATGAAAGCTGGTTCTTTCTGGGAAGTCTTAAGGGGATAAAGCAGGGAGTTGAGAGGACCTCTCAGTGGTCATCTTCCACTGTTCCCTGCAAGATGCCCCCCCAGCCTCCTTCTGAAGGGGCTGATATTGTCCCCAGAGATGGTGGCTGGCAGCTTAAGAATTATAAATACAACATTGACCAGAACATTCCAAAATAAACATTTCTCTTTTCTTTCAGAAACAAAAAAAATGATCCAAAAAAGGGGACTCTTGCTCTCTAAACAGCAAAATTATCAAGTCCTAAGATATATGCCCCGAAAATGGCTTATTTTAGTGACAGGGAGCATTCCTCAATGAAACCAATGGAGTTCATTAATAATTATTAATAGTTAACGTTATTAGTAATTCATGATACAAAAACTTCAAGAAGCGTATTTTAAAAATCCAAATTAAAACACGGAGCCACAGTTGGTCATGTACTGTGCCCTCTTTCAGTGCCGTTGGGGATACTCACAGTGAGTTCAGGGAGCGCAGTCCTTGGAAAGCATCTGGTGCCAGTTCAGAGACCTGATTATTGCTCAGGTCGCTAAGATCAGAAATAGGGTTCGGTTAAATGAAACAGAACGTCAGTGAGATTTACTACAGGAGAAAGCTACTCTTTGCCTTCTCGGGTCGGTGTTGTACTTGTCAACCTACATGTAAGATCTGTAACATAAAATATCTGAACTATCCTAAATTAAAGTGAAATCATCCTTTTAAATCAACTACTGACTCATTTCATAAATTGTTATACGATCTCACCTACAAGGGGAACCTAATCAACAAAACAAACAAGCGAGCAAAATAGAACCAGAGACATGGAAATAAAGAACAAACTGACAGTAACCCGGGGCGGGGTGGTAATGGGGGAAAGAAGGAAAGGAATGTGTATGAAGGACCCATGGACCAAGACAATGTGGGGCGGTGGGAATGAATGTGGAGTGGGTGGGGTGGAGGAAAGTAATAGGGGGAAAGTGGAGACAACTGTAATTGAACAACAATAAAAAAAAGAAAATAGAACATCTAAGATTTGACTATATACTATATTAAAACACATGCACTCAGACTGGTCTGAATCAATACGTTAAACTGCATAGAACCTTAATATATTGCAGAGTTTATCTGTTAATGTTACAATATTATAGAACCAGCAATCAAATAGTCATATTGCTTAATATTTAAGCTGTCAAATACCTAAGTAGTCATACTTAAATGGGTGTCTTTGCAGGGTCATGACCCGTAAAATTTTTAAAATTTAAAAAATTTACATATATCCCAGAATATTATCTACTCACATTCTTCTGAGCTTTTTATATGGTGAGAAAGCGCCAGGAGGGATGACCTTGATTGAGTTCTGCTCCAGACGTCTGCAATGAAAAAGTTCATCTTTTAAATGGAAACATGAGCTCTCGGAGATGTTTAATGCAAGCCCAGGATTCATGTCAAGAGGCAAAGTGGATGCAGCTCATGAGTAATATTTATTTTTCTCAAAAATGACCACTAAAACTAATTGTGCTGTGCCTTAAATGTGGAGCAAGATTGGGAATAAAAACAATTTTAAAAATTCCAGGTTTTAGGCATCGCATGTCCATTAACTATGATCTCACTTATATGTGGAATCTAATGAACACAATAAAGGGACAAAGCAAAGTTGGATCAGAGGCATGGAGCAGACTGAGGGATCTCAGAGCAGAAGGGGGGACTGAGGAGCTCAACCAAAGAACATACATGCACACATGCACAGCCATGGACACAGACCACAATGTGCTGAAGGTGGGGGTGGGGGGTCAAAGCGGGGACATCTGTTCACAGTGTGAACAATTAATAGAAGACCACTTGTACAATAGAGAAAGCACCTGTAAGAAACAAATTTGGGGGCATATTTTAATAGCGTCAATTTCAGTTCAGAAGGATGCACAGCAACACTGAACAGATATGTAACATATTTTAGAGACCATTATAACTCTTCCAGAAAGGAATTATTGTCAAACATTAAATCTTATAAACCTTCTCTGCCCTCTACAGGAAATTATAAGCTGCACAAAAATAATTGTTAAACTCAGACAATTAATTTTGAAGCTTCTTACGTAGCGCAAAATCTTCAATTCTAAATCCGTGTTGCCGGCATGAATTCAGTGATACGTCTGGATCCACTGATTCCCCACCTGCACATTTCACGTGAAACCCACCGCAGCAAAGCGCATTCGAGCACAGCTGCAACATTTCTACGATGCATTAGAACTGGAGAGTTGAAATAACTCCCATATTTTCTACTCTATGGTTCTGCTCTCAGAGGAGGACAAGATTGACCAACTTAGATATGAAAGAAACAAAGAAATCGAGTTCCATCAAGTGTTTTGGTAAGTATGTTAGTCCATCAAAACATGTTGCCTTTCATCCTCATGTCTATCCATATAAACATCCAGTAAACATTTCCAACCCTTCCCCTCTTCTCCTCTGCTCTGTATCCCAGAGCACTGACTTGTGGGAACCAGGAGTCCCCAGCACACTTTCCTACTGGTTTTCATGAAACTCAGCCAATGGGAGGCATTGGTGGGAGACGGCAGGTGGGAAGAAGGGAGAAGACTAGATGTTGTCCCCTCAGGGGGAGGTTCTTAGCAATGGTCCCCTCCCTCACTCATTCCAGCTCTGGCTGCAGCCATCTCCTGACTTAGTGTAACATCACTTTCTCCTTAGGTCATTACAGCCCTAGCCTGGGAGGTGAGCATAGCTTTCTACCTCTGTCACATTCTACCAGTGTTTAATTCATTCCTCATATTAAATCCCTCTACTGAAGTACTTGGCCTGAGCACCACTTTCCTGCCTGGATTTTAAAAGATTATATACATATAAATAAACGTTATACCTATTTATATATTTATGTATGAATGTGAGACTATATATATTATTGATTATGTGTGTCAAAAACATTGGTTCATTTTTTATTGAATGTTGGTAATACTTAAAGCGTTATTGATTAATGAACATCGAATCAAAACAAACAAAATATCCTTGGGAGGTTAAGTCAAATTGCTTAAGTATCGGTCTTTTCCGATTTCACATGCTGGCACAGTACCACCGTTTCTTCAACAGTCTCAGGGGTCCCCCCCTGACCCCCTCATCTCTGTACGCAATGGACTTCCTCAGTGGCCCTTGCTCTGGAATTCCATGTAATGTTTGATATTGCTGACAATTCTTCTTTCCTTGGGTGTGCCACTATATTCCCCTGATTCTCCTTTTCTTTTTCTAAATTTATGACTTTGTTTCCTAATCCCCTAAATTGAGCTAGTCCTCAAGTTTCTGGCCCTTCCTCTCCTACAAAAAGGTAAAATTCAGTCCTTATTACCTGCATTGTTTAGTCATAATGCTCCTCCTCTAAAAAACAGAAATGATTTTGTTCATGTTAAAGACACATTCAAGTTTATCCACAAAATATGTAAAAATTCTGAGTCACTAGTAGATTTCTTTTAACAGTAATGCAGAACTAGTTCATGTAATTGCTTTTCATAAATTTCAGGTCCTTGAAAATAAGAAAACCAGAATATATTTTATAAACAACAAACCACACACATTTTAAATGGTATCCTTACTCCTATAAAACAGAGGAAAATTATTTAAGCCAGACTATAAGTAAATAAAGAAAAATAACAGTTTTCAGGTGAAGGTTTAAAAAAGCAAATGAAACGTACATTTTCTATACTTGCTATCCTCATCTTCTATTTTAATAGCATAGAATCTACTGACTTTATAGAGTATACATATGAATCCATTGTTCCATGAAGAATCTAATTTAAAACATTCACAGTTACAAAAACAGATAGTGTAACAGCGAAAAAACATTTTCATGCTATCCGCCATAATTAAGAGACTTGCTAATGCTAGTCCTTCATAGAAAGAAAATTCAGTATTTTGAATTTCAGAGTAAAAGTAGATTTAGAATACTGAATAATGGACAGAAAATTCTATAAGCCACACACTATAAGAAAGCCTTTTTTAAAACATAAAAGTAGCCAGAAACTTACCTTTTTCCTTTTTCTCCACAGAATGTATGCGAACAATTCTAAAACATTTCATCACTGAGTATATGTGTGTGTATAAATATCCATCTATCATCTATCAATCAATCATCTATCTATCTGTCCGTCCATCCACCTGTCCATCCATCCATCCATGTATATACCCATTCACCCAAGTATCTATCCATTCATCTATCTACCTCATTTATATAAAAGCAATTTGCTGTCACCCTTTCATCAAAACCATAAGGGAATTTTAGTTAGATGTTCAATGAGATAAGAAAATGGAGACGGTTTTCTAACTTTTCTAATCCAAAAATTCCAAAGTATGTTTAATCAGTGAAGACCTTTCCTCCTCACTCCCCCACTGTCTTTTTCTCTTATTCATTAATTACTGATTTTTTAAATAAATCAAACATATCTTCATATTTTTAGAGTTCCTAAACAATGAACTGAAGCCAGTATCACTTTCTGGTGCCTATTTCAGATTATAGAAAATAAAAAATGATCACAGCCAACATCAGTAGAATATACAATGCAGTGTAGTTGGGCAATGAGAAGTCCTTCCGACTAGTCCCGAAGCCACTTATAAGATTAAATTATCTGAATGAGACTTTCAGCTCATTAGTATCCAATTCTCAGGAATTATTTTCAGTGTTTTTCAAATTAAATTATTTTGACAAAACAAACAGAGTAACATCTACACACCAAAGCCAAAGCAGCCCTTCCCAAGAGATATTAATATTTTGTATGTGTGTATGCATAAAACCAAAAATGTGAAACTTAGTGATTAAACACTTATACAGAGTTGGATTAAACTCTAGTTTTGCTATTGATTTGTTTTTAGGGCCTTGTAAAGTTACTTTGCTTCTCTGTGTCTCAGTTTCTCTTTCTGAAAAATGAGGAAAGTAAAACCTACTATAAATGTTTTGGTAAAAATTATGAGATATAGAAAAAATATATAGTATTTTTTGCACAAAAAAATGTAAGAGAATAAAAATATGGTAATATATGTATATGTAATCATACGTATAATATTTAGCATTATATAATAAAACATCTAGTCACACCCATACACACAGATTATAGAAATGAATAAATCTGATACAATTTGATCTCCAGGGTGAAATAAATATATATGGTTTCAAAATATGTTTTTAAACAAATGAGCTGTGCAGATTTGCATATAACTCAGTAACTACATAATAAACACATATACACATACATCATTCATATGGAGGCTATAAAAATATATATATATGGTTGCAATTTCCATGATCAACATGGTTAAAGTATAGCATTTTATCTCATTTGGAAAGTGTCTTAGAAACTCAAAAAAGTTTTCACAGCATCAGTAAAGTATGAGACTGGACTGACTGTATCTCTAACATACAGCCCAGCTGCTGATTATATACAGCAATAAAGCTGACAGTTCTCTGCAACTTCCCCATCCGCACTTACTGTAAATGGCAAAAACAGCTGCCAGGGAGCAGAACAGAGAGTTAACGGGGTGAAGAGGTGTGTGCAATGACTCTAGCTTCTGAATCTGGGACTGCCCAGTGTAGTCACACATTCTCGTCCCCACGAAAGCCAGATCGGCATTTGAAAAGGAGGAAGCAGCAATATTTCTTTGACTTTAGGGACTCTCTTGCCTATTAGATAATAATTCTAACATGAGGACTTTCTATTTCTGGAATGTTGCTTCTAACAGTAGTAGTAAATGCCATTGAAAACCTTCATATATCTCCACATAAAATGAACCAGAATTCTTTTAGACTAGAATATTATTTCTGTTAAGTAACTGCAATCTCCAGAATGCTGTAAGTTTAATAAATATCTTCAGCAGCTGAGTGAATATGGGCCTCAAGAGGGACATATTTGGCGTATACTAGCATTTTTGCCTGAGGACTGTGCCCATACTAATTACCAGCCATCCATTCCTTGGCGTGACTTATTCCTGAAAATTGTCCACTTTTTAAATCTCATTTTATATCTTGTGATATCATTCTAAGGTACATTTCCCTGAGCGTAAGCTCAATTGCTGTTTTCATAGTAGCATTAACTCCTCTTCCATTTGGTCTTTAAGCATTTAGAACAAGACAAAAATAAGTGTGTGTTCCTATTGATCTCATATTTCAGGCAATGACCTTTTGAGTGTTAAAATTTTCATGAATGCATTCATGTGGCTGCCTAGTCAAATACACAGATACACTCAATACACACAATCACCTGGTTCAGACTGAAAGGGGATTTCAGAGGCACAGGGCTCACTGACTTCAGAGGGAGTGAGGGTAGATACATAATGCCAAACACTGTTTTCCCATGTAATTTTTCTTTAGCAATCCAGGAAA